AAAGGAAACAATAATGAGAAAAAAAAGGAAAAAAAGGTGGTTTTGTTTTTATTTATTTGTTGTTTGAGAATAAGCTTGGTGAGACTAGACCTAGGTCACCAATTCTTTGTTATAATTAATAATTAAAAATAAATTAATTAATTAAGAAAACTTTTAATTATATCTCCTTGCGTCTCCTGCCAACCACCTGAGAAATATCTTTGAGCCGACACTTCTCTTTTCTTTTCCCGGAACCTTTTCTCTGGATGGCTTTTGATTGGGACCTTTTCGCTCTTTTCGGCCTTGCATGGAAGGGTCATTTCAAACTTTTCTTCCATTTTAAAGTCAACCGTCAACCCCACTTGCTGCATCTAGACTAACTCCCCAAATTCTCATCACCTTCTCTGATGCCGTTTTCTCTTTAATTGTTCAAAACATGTTGCTCAAATTTTTTGCCCTCTCTGGTTGAATTTCTCAAGCCAGAAATGGTTCAAATGCTTGGATTAAGAATTTACCTGTCAAAAATAACAGGTTTTGTAAAAACAATCTTCGCGGGGAGTTTGGTTCGTGAAAGAAAAACAGAGTGAGCTCCCATTTGAGGTTTCTGTGGCAATTTGATGTGAGTGTGAAGAAGCCCAAAAAAGCCCTTCCTGGTTAAGTTGCCTTCCTGCAGAGCCCCCAGTTTAGGGGGTAATTTAGTAATTTTGACAATGTAGGAACTTAATTGAAAAATACAAAAGATTTGGGAGTCTAATTAAAAGGTTAGAGGATCCAATTGATGAAATTAACACTTGTGGGGCTTGAATAGAAATACTTAGAACTTTCAGGGACAAAATCGAATGAAATCAAGAACTGAGGGGCTAAATTAAAAATATTTAGACCTTGATTTCCCCTCGAGTTAAACTGGATCTCATGCAGTTATTGATGCCGATTTCGAACGATCCAAAAATGATACAAATTAATAATAGGTATATATAAGCTCGAAATCAATGGAGAAAAAAAGCCCTCGATCAATTTGAGCATTCTTTCTCGATTTTCCAGTTTAAGGTCAACTAAAATTTGAACCCAGTTGTGGTAGAGATCAGTAAATTATTTCAGATTGTAGCCACTTTCAACCACCGTATTGCAACTACTTGTGCTCTTGCTAGTTGCCTATCCAATCCCATCATCATCACTGAGTTTGATTGCAAAATCAGGAAAAAATTCTAAGTAAATTTATGATTTTTCTAGTCTCGAGCATTCATAGTTTTTACAAGGAATTCAGGTCAAAAAGACAGACCTGATTAAGGTTTGGGCATATCCTCTTGGATTGGACTTTTGAACTGGGTTTGGGGCTTTTGAGTTAGGCCATGGCCTGATGGGCCAACCCTTGACTAGTTTGGGCCAATTACACTAGGTTGAATCGGGTCAGACGTGAGGTTTGGGCTTTAGAAATGGATTTGGATCCTATACCTAAAGCAATAAGTAGAACACTAGTCGGTTCATTTCTACTTGAAGGCATAATGGATCAGTTTAACATTTAAACTAACCGGTTTAATGCTAGTTTAGGGTTAATATAGTTAATTTAAGTCTTAAACTGCTAATTAGGTTTTTTAATCACCAGTTCAGTATGTCTTGAGTCTGGTTTAGGGATTTTCTGTACAAAAATAAGGTAGGTTTAGTGTATAAACAGCTGGTTCAATAAGTTATAAGACTGGTTCAATGTTTTTAAAGCTAATTCAAGCGGTTCAGTGCATTAGTGGCCGATTCAGAGTCGGTTCAGTGGCCTAATAGCTAGTTTATGGCCAATTTAGCCTTCTAGTGGCTGGTGTAGCACTTTAATTAATAGTTTTGAAGTTAAATAAATTGGTTTTTATGTTTTAGAAGATTGATTAAAGATTTTGGTACTCGGTTTATAATTTATTTGACTAGTGCAAGATTTAAATAGCCTCGATGTAGGTTCGAGCATGAAAATCTAGAATTTTACTCAGATTTTTAATTAGAAAATTATAATTATTTGATTCTTAGATGCATTAGAAATCTAAAATAAGATATTCTATTATTTTTATGATTTTAGATTTTTTGTACAGTTATCGTTGAGACCGTGTCACTAAAGATTAGATTTCTTAATTTTTGTCGGTTCTGTGAATAAAAATGTGCATTTATGAGCCTTTATTATTTTTCATATCTGTTATAAAATTCTAATTTTATATGACATGCTTGATTTCTGAAAATTGAATTAAAGTTTGTTAAAAATGCTTAACAAGGGACAATTATGTAATTTATGAAATTGTTTTGAAAAAATAATCTATTAACTACGTTCAATTTTGTTTATATCTGTAAATAGAAAATTCTGTTAAACTATTTCTGTTTATTTCTAGAAAACTGTTTTAAGGGAGTTTCAGATTTTAGAACACTATAACTAATAACAATAAGTATTAGACTAAGTATCCTAACTTGCACATCTGTATGCCGGTAGACTGAGTGTTACCGTCCCGATTATCGATAAACTAAGATGTTACCATCCTGATTATTGGTAGATTAAGATATCGCCATCTTGGTTTCTAGCAGACTAAGAGTTACTATCCTAATTTCTGATTTCTATTATATTATGGATTACGAACTCCCTAAATTCTGAATGTTTTGTTGAATTTTGTTTTTATAAAGTTATCTATTATATCTATATACTTGTTTCTTGTTCTCATAAATACATATTATTATTCATTAGGTTTATCGACTAAATCCTATTATTTTTCAAATTTAGAGTTCAATATTCTGATGGATCCTGCTACTTAAAAAAATTCCGTTGATCTAACTATTTTTCCTTTTTGATCATAGAGGTTAATTATTTGATTTTAGCTTTTTTGTTAGTTTTGTATTTTTTAGGTTTTCTTTAGTTAACTCTATTTGATTACAAATAAATTTTTTGCTGACGTATTGATGGTTTTAAATTAAGATTGAAATAGATTTTGTTTGGTTTAATTTGTTTTGAATAATATATTAGGCTTGTGGAGTTAGAATCTATTTTAATCTTAACACAAGTCGCAAATCTAATTTTCTCGATTGTGACACTTCCAACAGAACTCTTATTCTTGGGCTTCTTAGGGTTATTAGAATTGTTTTCTTGGACAATTGTATTTGAGCAAAGAGCACTATATTCCTCTCAACTTCCTTCTTTATTTTATTAACACACTAAACTTTATAATATAACATTCACCTCTTGCAAACTAACATTGTTAATCTATCATTATATTTACTTCTAATATTTTTAATTTTAAATATTACTATCAGAATAATTAATTTTAAAATTTTAAAAATTTTAAGTTAAATATGCTATAATTGATAATAAATATTTTATTTAATTTTTGATATTAAATTAAAATATGATCAAATTTTATAAAATTATTTTAGATTATTTAAGCAACTTAACCAAATACAAAGTTACTAATTATGAAGAAATAATTTGAATTAGTAGAAATCATTCAAATTAAGGTCTTTTAATAAATTTTACTAAATTCAAATTATTTTTTTGCAATTGGAAACTTTTTTATTTAGATAAGCAACGCAAATATTCTGTATTAATTTTATAAAATATTGTTGTATTTTAATTTAATATGTAAAATAAATGCATTTAATAAAATATATTTTTAATTATAATATATTAACTTAAAATTTTAAATTTTTAATAATTAATTATTCTAAAAATAATATTTAAAATATTTAGTATTTAAAATTAAAAAAATCAAGGATAAATATAATCACAAGTCAATGTTATTAGTATGCAAGAAATAAATTATGCATTATAAAGTTTAGGAGATAAATAAGAACGAAAAAAAAATTTAAGAGCGTAAAATGATTTTTATCCACTGTATTTTATTATTATGCTATAAAAAGGTATTTAGCAAATTTAGAAATCAATAAATGCCTATAAATTTGAAAGAATACTACCATACAGTGTTTTAAAAAATATTTACAATATGATTACTTCGTTTGATTGCCACCAGGGGGGGGGGGGGGGAGATCCTTTTCTATACAAGTCAAGTGTCACAACCTTGGGCTTCGGAGACACTTAGTGGGCTTCGACATTGTACTAAAAGCCCAACAAGCCCATGCTTTTGAAGATCCAAATGGTCTCTGGCGGCCACAATTGACTTGTGCCCCTGGACTAAGTTGTAGTGATGGGCCGATATATCAAGTCCTACGCTGCGCTGTGAATATTTGGTCCATATGGGGGTGTTTTTGTCATTTCATGTATTCTTTTAAATTAATGTGATATTCCTTAAAGACATTTAGGTAAGCTACACAAATATTATTTTAAAAGTAACAATTCATAGGCAGAGGTCAAATTGAAAATATTTAGAATGGCCTTAGAGTCAACGCTTGAGATTATTCAAATTCAAACGTACCCTCAGCTATCCACAACTCTATCAACCTTGACCATAATCCCAACTGCCTCGTAACAATTTTGAACCACCCCAAATCGGGATTAGAGGTGGTATGCAATTTCATAAATTTATTTTTTACTGCAAAAAATATTTTCAAGATCTTAAGATTTACTCCAAAAATTTATTTTAAAATATTACTTAATTTATTCTTTTATTAGTAATACAATATTTTTATTATGTAATATATATATATATTTTAGTAATTTAAGTTTTTATTTTTTGGAAAATTTAGATTTTACATGAATCAATTCTTCATAATTTGAGAATACTATTTTAAGAATACAATAAAAAAAGCACCAAATTCCCCTAATTTATGAACAATTGTAACGTAAAAAAAAGGCTATCAATCATAATTAATTTTGTGATTATAGGATTATTTATTTTCGCAGAGCCAAAGGAACCTACTTTTATCAATCATAGAGTAGTGACTGTTCACCTCGTTCTCAAACTTGAATCTCCAGATCGTTCTCTCTGCGTGGGCGAGAGAGAGAGAGAGAGGGGCAAATACATATATTTATCTGTGTAAATGTGAAATTTAACCTGTATAAATTCTCTTGGTGGCCGTGATATGGAGAACGCTGAATAAGCGCTTCGGCTATGGATCTATCAGCTGTAACTTCGTCTTCTCTCTCATCTAATTCATCGCCCTCCGCTTCGTCAACCTCGTGGTTTTCCGGCATTGTCCGCGGCCGAGCCGACGGGTCGGGAAGCGGGAAAATGGCCAGCTCAGCCGCTGCCGCTGACAACGTCAGTCCTATCAATCGGAAGAAGCAGTTTCAAGGAGTGATGTTCAAGTACGGTCCGAAGCCTATTCAGGTCTGGACAATTCTCCCTGTGATGTCTTAGGCTCGGAACTCCTTTCGGTTTGATTTACATTGAGATTATTTAATAGCCTTCGTTTCTTGTTTGAGATTTGGAACTGGTGTCACCAATGCAGAAACCTCATTAAATTGGGTTGTGAAATTGACATAGTTGTGCTATTTCTGTAATTGCTAGTGAAATTGGAAATTTAGCAATTATGTTCGCTGTAGGTGGATGCAGTTCAACCTTAATTAGCTTATCAGGTTTCTTACTTGTTTCTAAAAAATTACATGAGAGTATTTGAAATGCTTTCTATATTCTGCATATGCAGGACTGGATTTTCTAATCCTTTTTTTTTTCCTGTTGATTTTGTAATGGTATTTAAGCCAGGCAAAGCGTTTACTTTTTAAAAAATTTAGCTACCGGTCTCAAAGTTAATGAAATTTTTGAAAGGAAAGGGACAAAATTTCTGGTTTTTATGTTTTTATTTTCAGTTGTTTATGAAAACCTGATCACCCACTGTACCCGTAGCAAAACAATTTAATTTATTTTTATCTTCACTTTAATGAGAAGAACTAGTTTTTTAAATTCTTGTTAAACACGAAAATAAAAACATATATGACCTCAACTTAATTGCGATTGATGTGAAGCTAAACAAGCCTAAGCTTGAGTTGACCTTTAGCTCAAGCTGACCCGAATTTAAAATAGCTGGTTCTGAGCTCCTTTAAAAAAGATGTCTTTAAGGAATATCACATTAAGTTTTCCTTCTGTTGGTTTACTTGTGGTCCATTGTAACCCTTGCTAGCTATGTTGTCTGTTTAACCATCTTTTTCACTTGAGATGGTCTTCTTCGTGCAGGTTGCATTTAAAACAGGTGATTACAAACAACAAGTCATTTTTATTGGTGGATTAACTGATGGATTTTTGGCTACTGAGTATGTTTTCTGAGTCTCAGTTTCTTAACATGTTATATGATTTAGCATGTAGCAGTTTATCTTTGCTTCTTCTACTGCTATTTTATTGTCTCCCAAGATTTAAAAAAAAAAAAAAAGTGATGCCTTAAACTTACACTTATTATAAGAATGTTCTCTCCTTGTGTCTCTCACATACTTGCAAATGCATGCATGCCTCCACGTGCACATGCAGACTTCTAAAGAGTTGGTTCATTGAGTGTAAGCTCGCCCCACATTGTACATCTGTGAGTGAATTCTCCAAGTAAAAGGCTGTTGAATGACAATCATGCCTTTATTATTAAAGTATCTGGAGGTAGTAAGTTATGTCAAGTATTGCTGTATCACTGCATTATCAACCGCAGACCTTTAAGCTTCTTTGAATTTTCCAGTGGCTTTTGTGTAGAAAAAGACCACGTAAGAGCAACGTTGGTCCTAAAACTTGTGAAGTTTGTTGCTAGGGTGGGATCTTAGAATTAATAAGAGTTAATCTCTTTTGACAAATTTGGTTGAGGAAAAAAATTGAAAATTATTTTATTATATAGTATGTATGTTTTTTTCGTGTTTAACAAATGTAATTTTGCAATTAGGTTAAATTGTTAATCAAGCATCATATTTTAAGTTTTGGAGTATTTCATGTATAGCAGTCTTAGCAGATGTGTTGGCTTGTATTCAGTCTCATGATTGGACCTAGTACATAGAAATTTTGAAATTTGTTTGCTGGTCTTGAGGCTGCATAGAAATAAGGTGTCAACTGTCAGCTGCTAGTGAGAAGAAGTCTTGAATATTGGAAATCTGAAATGCCAGGGGGAAAAAGGGATGTCTTAACAATGCATAATTATAAATTCCTCAGGTGTCAGGACCTTACTCATGATCACATGCATTATGTATTTGATGTCACCAGACTATATAAGTTGATTGCTCTCTAAAAATAGAAAATTTGTAAAACTGGATGCTGTATGGCATTAATCCTTTGGATTATACAGGATACTAAAGTGGAATTCATTCGTACATTGTTGTTTGCATTTTCTAAGGGAGATTATTTTCTTTCCTTACACAGATACTTGGAACCTTTAGCAATTGCTTTGGATAAAGAGAAATGGTCTCTAGTTCAGTTTCTGCTCTCATCCTCCTACAGTGGATATGGCACATCAAGCTTGAGAGAAGTAATTTCTCATTTCCCTGTTTAACCGCTGGCAAGCTAATTCTAGGGCTGCTTGGTTATGTTTTGATGGATATTTTGCTCTCTTAACAGCATGATGACATCTTTCTGAGCTAAGCTTATAAGACATCATGGTTCAGTTGTTCTAACTTGCAATATTACTGTGGTAAACAATGTAGTTTTATGGCTATAAAGGATGTGATGACACATACATTAGAATGGATAACTATGAGCAATAAACTTCAGAGGTTTCTTTTACCCTTTTTTGCTGCTGTTTGTTGAGGGAAGCCCATAAGTTGAAGATAGCACCTTTCCACCTCTTCCTCCACCCCCAGCCAAAATAAAATAAAAAAGAGAAGAAAATAAAGAAAAGAAAAAAGCATCTCCCATATGATATCTTTTAGAAATACCTCTTTGCCGTTCAGTCATATATAATATAGTTGGTATTTCGTTCATCTGTATCCTCTCTTCTGGGTTAATCTTCCCATTGGCCACAATATATTCAGCATTGGTTTTCTTATTTTTGTCTCCCTCAAGACCTTAGTGAATAGCTAATTTTTTATCAACATATCCAATCTAGTTTTCTTACGCATGAACTATTTTTATGTATCCCCTCTGGGCTTAATTTTTGCAATATTATTTGTGAGGGGTTAGGAATATTGGTATTAATGGTATAGGATTTAAAGTGATGGATTGAATAGTGGGACTTGTGGGATAGGATAAGAAGGGATTAAATATAAGTAGGGTTATTTATGTAGACTATATTATGTTAAGATTGAAGATGAGATAAAGTAGGATAAAGTGTGACAATTTTGCATTGAGACTTTTTGATTAAGATCCAATGGCTAGGGTGTGAAGGATTAATAATACCAAAGGGGAGGTGTTATTGCTAATCCATTGGACTAATAGTCCCTTAACCTGTTTTTTCAAAGTGGGATTATGGGAGGTGGGATTTTTTTTTTTTTTTTTTGGGGGGGGGGGGGGGGGGGGCGGGGCGGTGGGGTAGGGTGGAGGTTGTTGTCTGACACATGTAGTGGACAGTTTGATGCAGAAGACTCCACCATCATGGGAATTGGAGAGGGTTAATTATATGCATCTTTACCTCATTTGAGAGAGGGTATTCTACAATTTCTGATACTTGACATATGGGTTGGGATTGAGCTATCTTTATTGTTTGGCATGATTACTCTCAAAAATATGACTATAGCACTAAATATAATAAATGTTTGTTTACTGATAATGTTCTTGAGACAATATACTAATTTTAGAAATTGACACTCTTTATCTTTTGGTCATGCTACTTGAATTCATTTCTATGCTTCCAAGTTACTTGTGTTTTCGTCAATAGGAATTTGAGAGCATTCCACCTGTAAAGATGTTGTTTGTTTCTGCTTTTTTTGTATAACAGATAGCATTTTTTTGATAGGAAGTCTTCATTTAACTTGATGTTAACCAAATTTTGATTTTATTATAAGATGGTGAATAGTAGGTTTCTTGGCAATCTTTGGAGGCACTTAAAAAAAAATAACTCCAATTTTCAGTTATCAATACCTGACAAGGTTAGGTAATTGTACAATTTTAATCAAATGAACAGCTTCCTTTCCTGTGTAAAGGATTATGACATCCCATCTGCAATCTGCTTAATGAATTATGTAAAATCTGTATTTTGGCAAACACCTTGCGAACCATGAACAATTGCTGCCTTTTTGTTGGTTTTCCATTTCCTTTTTAAAATTTTTTTAAAATATATTTTTTAGGTTATGACCTCTAGATAGGTTGGTTTGTCGGGGTATATTGGAAAAATCACATTTTGGTTAGTAGTTCAGCAGAATTTAAAAATCACTATTTGTGAGGATGAAAAATGGCCCAGAGCTAAACAGTGGCAAGGCATTTTTCAGTTAGTGAAGGGTTTTTTCTTTTTATTATTTCTTCCATGTATGGTGGATCATCTTGATATTATGTCTTAGAATGAACACTCAATTTTTAAAATACTCAATTTGATGTCTTTACAATTGCATGCCTCGATCAATATCATCATCAATATGGCAGCATATACAAGATAATCTATTTCCTGCTTTTTCCTTTTCTTGCTCTTTTCTATGGTGTTTTAGCTGCACTTCAAAGATCATCCTACTTATATGTGTACTCCAGGATGCTATTGAGATTGACCAGTTGATCAATTACTTGATAAACAAGGAAGATTCTGAGGGTGTGGTACTGCTGGGGCATAGTACTGGTTGTCAGGTGAGTGCCTCCTCCTTCCATGTATTTGATATTTTAAAGAATTTACAAGTATGTGAATTCAATTTGAGATTGATTCCCCTTACTTGATGAGAAAATAAAGCCAGCCCTTGTTTTGGATAAATGTCTAGGATATTGTGCATTATATGCGGACAAATGCTGCATGCTCCAGAGCAGTTCGTGCAGCTATCTTCCAGGTGATTTTAACTATCTTTTTCAGTTTGTCTCATTGCTCTCATTACACGAAATTCTTGGCATCGTGAATACCTCTAAACAGCTGCAATATGGTTGTTTGAATTTAAGCAGTTTATTCTTTTTCCCTATATTCTAGTTACTCAGTATATACCTACCTGGTCTTTGATATATGGCAAAACATCGCATATTAGCAGATGTTACTGGAAGTATGGGAGTATCTTGTCTGGCTTATGACAGTGATGCTTCAGTGTTTTTCCCCTTGTTTGATTATTTTATTAAGGCCTATCTCTAGTAATAGTGGAAATAGTAAAAAATGGAGCATGCATGTGCATTTGATTGATGCAAAATTATCTATATTATCAACACCACCTGCATAATATTCATATAAACAATATGGCATGCTAAACACTATTGTTTCAGCTTTGTAGAGAAAAGTCTCATGTACCTATATATTCTGGTGCTATTTATGAATAGGTTATTTTCTTTCATATATGCTTTTATATTTTTTTCTTCACTTTAGTTGTTTTTAAATGCCTAATGTTGTACGTGGCAGTGTTCTGCATGAAGAGAGATGGAAGTTGTTGCAGCATAATGTTTTATAGCTGTCCACAGTGGAATGATGATTGGTTTTAGTATATGAAGAGATGGGTCATAAACTAAATGGGGATTCTGTGCATGTTTAACAAGTCTGAGTTTGATATGTTTGTGCCACATCTGAGAAACAAATTGCCATTTTTACAATAATCAAAAGGGATATAAAATGAACTCGTGGAATTTAGTGTAGCCCCTCATTTTCAATATTTGATAATTGATGTGCAGCCTATATTAATTTACTCGGCTATTTTATTTCTTTTGATACCTGTATGTTATGCACTAATTTGCAGCTTTCACTGTAACACTAATCGGATTTTCTAGGCTCCAGTAAGTGACCGAGAATATAGAGCAACTCTCCTGAAACAGCTGCTATGATTGACTTGGCTTCAAAAATGATAAGTGAAGGTCGGGAATCTGAATTAATGCCCAGGGAAGCCAATCCAGATGCTCCAATCACTGCCTCTAGGTGAGGATAATATGATATATTTTTAAACCCCCTCCCCCCTTCAAATAAATAAATACATAAAAACAAAATAAAATAAAAAATAAATAACTCAAAAACCTTTCCCCTTTGCTTTGCGTGTTTAACACTTCTGCTGAATTGCATTGTTTTGTCTCTTACTAATTGAAGGTTTAGCCAAGTTATGATAAAGATGGGAATTAGATACTAAACATGTCTAGAGAGTGCAGCTATCTTCTTACTCGTTAGTCTGATTTGTTTATGATTCACCCAAGGAGAGGAGGAAAATGTATGTAAAAACTTCTTCCTGCCCTTGGAAAACTAGAGATAAAAGGTGTATCCTATTAAGCAATTGACTGTTCATGGATAGCATTTTATGTGGCAACTTAGATAAAATATATGACAATCACTAGTTCCGTTTTGGGCATGAATCTAGATGAACAAGAGAATTGCAATTGTCTGGACTTTTATTAAGCTTCAGTAATATGAAGTGTGGAAATGCTCAGCTGGCCACCCCGGCAATGCCCAGCTGGCCACCCCTTTTCAACACTGAGAGAAGCGCTCATATAGTGGTTCAATACATCCTCTTTTTAAATAATTGAATCGAAAGGCAACAATTCCTTAAGAAACAAGATAACTATTTCACTTCAAATTTGCACCTTATAAATGAAAAGATCTAAAATCAAATTCTTCTACTGCTAAAAAATGTTTGTGAGAATTACCAGTGGATGAGCATGAAATTAGTAAATCTTCAAATTCTTCAGACATTAAGTCTTGTGTCATGTTGACCGGTTCTATTGTCTTTCCTGTCATAATTCTAAGTTATAATGACTTTTATGTTGTAACATAATTTCTCAGAGCAAAAATCATTATTTGAGGCTTGACATGTCATTAGAGGTATAGTTGTAACCCCTTCCTCATTTCCAGTCTACAATTAAAAAAAATAAAAATAAAAAATACTGTTTGGTGTTGACAATAGTATTAAGCAATTGAAGCTGACTTATGATTTCTCTGGTTTTTCTATAATAATTGGTGTAATTAAATTGTGTCAGAAATGTACATTTAATGGATTGGAAATATTATGATTGCACTCAGATGTTTGAGGTGCCTTTTCTGGGTTTGTTCAATTAAAATATATATAATTTTGAGATAAAATGAGGAGTATGTCCTAGACATCTTAAATGATGCATAATTCCAAGCTGTTCTAGTTTCATTTTGAGGTCCTCACAAAAATACCAAGAGTTATGAGACTTATCCTGTTCTCTACTTAAAGCTGAGTGAGTAGTTTCCTCACAACTATTTGAATAAGACTTTCCTTTCCATTTCAAGTTCCATCTTTCTGAGTGTTGTTTTATCTACTTGTCAGTGTTAAAAATTTTTATTTCCCCAAAAAATAAAAAATAAAAATAGGTGTCTATTTCCTTCTCTTGGGGCTTTTATTTATAGTGTTGGCAGTTAAGATTCACTGCAGTTATCTTTTTCGCCTTGGGTGGCAGATATCACTCTCTTTCTGCGTACAATGGAGAGGATGACATGTTCAGTTCTGATCTTAGTGATGATCAACTGAGAATGAGGCTTGGGCACATGTCTAACACACCTTGCCAGGTAGGTATATATTATTTGTTTGGTAAAGTGATATGAATTCTAGTAGCACCCCATATTTTAAATTTGTATAGTGGACAGGAAAGGTAGGGCATAAAGGTCCCAAATGTGGTAGTTTGAAGCCCATAACAAAAAGGGAAAGAAAAAGAACTCTTGATTTATAACTGCGGGTGGTATAATTACTAATAAGTGCTATTTTTTGCAGATTATCTTTTCAATGGCTGATGAATATGTGCCAGATTATGTTGACAAGAAAGCATTAGTTGACAGGTGCGAGCAATAATCTTTGCCCAATAGTAATTGCAGATTATGTTAAAAAGTTCCTAGAATTTTTGGACACCACGTTCATGTGTCCATCACGGGCAGTTTGGCACTCAGCTTTTTGAAACTTTGTACTTGACTTTTAAGTCCCAAAGGCTGAAAGAGCCTGTTAACCTAAAAAGGCTGAAAAATCCAAGTTTTGGGTTAATCTTGGTTTCTTGAGCTTGAATGGCAAGCACAATAGCCAGAAAAGTCAAGGCAGCAAATGCCCCGTTGGTCTATGCCTTGTAGGATGGTGGTATATTTGGTGATTTCTTTTGCTTTTTCTCTAGATGAACAAAATGGTGATTCATTCAATCATGATTTTCTACTTCGTTTCAACTTCTGCAGATTATGCAGAGCAATGGGTGGCGCGGAGAAAGTTGAAATTGAATGGGGAAACCATGCCTTGTCTAACAGAGTTCAAGAGGCTGTTCAGGCCATAATAGACTTTGTTAAAAGAGAGGGACCCAAAGGGTGGGATGATCCATGGAGTTAGCATGTTGAATTCCTTGCACCATCTTATGATTTTTCATCCTTTGGAGCTTCAATGCATCCTCATTTTTCTCAATTCACTTTTACTTTCATCAATATTTTTGTTTTTAGTTTGTTTGTGTACTAGAATTTTTAGAGTTTGAAGAGTTGAGTGAGCTTGAATTAGAGAAATTGTTTCGTGTATTAGAATTTAGGATGCTGATTTTATTTGCAGTGTTCAATTTTCTGAAAGACGAAACATGCATTTGGTGCTACTTTTTTTAATATTTATTCATTTTTAACTTGAAGAAGAAAAGATTTATTTTTAATTTCTTGCCTATTACCTTCACTACTCACTGCTTTGGTTCTGTGTAGCTTCATCTTGGATGAAGTATACTAGATGAAGTATTTTGTTGCAGTTCAGAGACATAAAAGGTGGAGACGGTTTTCGAATCTTCGAGCAAGGTAGATGATAGACCACAGGTGGTGTTTGGATCTTCAAGTGGGGTAGATGACAAACAGTGTTTGAATCTTTGAGTAAGGTAAATGACAATGACAGATGGTGTTTGGATCTGCGGTCGTTAGGAAGGTAGATAATAAACGAGACAAAAGAGAGAGAGAGAGAAAGACAGAGATAAGAGATGACATTGCTTCCTCTACTATTTTGGGCTCTTACATAGAAGTAGATGGTCGACAAACAAGAGAGACGAGAGATGAGCATAGTAGCAGCGGAATAAGTATTATAGAAAAGGTATTGAAAAATTGAACAAATGATGCTTATGCCATCACCTTTTCAACTTTCCATTAAAAATAATGAAAATAACTTTTTGTTAATCAAATTTTACAAAAAGTTTTTCAAATATGAAAATGAAAATATTATACCAAGCGCGTTTTCAAGCTTGTTTTCTATTTTCATTGAAAATGAAAACAAAAAATGAACCAACCAAACAAGTCCTATAGTTTCTTTTTTTTTTTTCTCCCTCCCTATCCTTGAAATCATTAAATTTAAATTTTTAAGAAGAGAAACAAAAATAAGAAAAAATACAAATAAAAAAGGAAAAAAACAAAAGAGGAAGAGGGGGAATGGTAATGGTGGCTACCACCGTATCCACTTTTGTACACTCTGAAGAAATTTGTTTTTATGCTTATTTCTATTTTTGGTTGGTATTAATTTTAATTCTTATTTTTGTCTTTATCTAATAGTGTTATGCCCATCTCCAATTTTTTAAGAATATAATTCATTTTTTTTAAATTAACATATCTTGTATATATTAAATATATCTTTTAAGTATGTTTATAATATATATATATATATATATATTACATTGTGCACGAGATAATATGGAAATATAATCAGGTTCCCATCCCTCATCCAATAAAAAATCTCTTTAAAAATTTTTCTTATCTATCCCTATATTTATTCTAGAGTGTTTATATTTTTTAAATTTATTTCTATCTTTATTTTATAATATTTATATTCCATCTCAATTGGATAAAATGTACAAATATTTGTAGAGCATGAGGCAGATCAGAAAAAAAACAAAAATTAAGAAGGGGACCAACCAGATAAGATGGTGTTTGGGATTGTGAAAGTGAGTCCATGTCTATTATTTATTTACATACGGTACACATGAAAGTTTGCAATCCAGTTTATAATAATTATTTATTACTAAGTTTGTAATTCTTAATTTATTATTTTTTATAATAATTATTCTCCAACCGCGTGCTACGGATGGCTTGCTGTGGATTTTAAATATTTCTAATTCATGAGGATTTTTATTGTCTTTTAATAGATTTAAATTTTCGTAACCATCCATCCATTGATTATGACGTAACTTCTCCAGGAAAAAGTCAAATTAATCTTATCAAACAGTGAATGGAATTTCCTATTAAGGTCCTCATCTTTTAAAATTTATTTATCTAAGACCATGGAATACATTAAGTCATCTGTGGGCCCCTCCCAAATTGAAGGAAACTTAGGCTTACAGCAGAGGGCAAAATAATGGAATAAAAAGAAGAAATGTTCTTAAAAGTGTATTTTGTTAAAAAGAATTTTAATATTTTATTTTTTTGTTTAAAAAAATTTAATTTTAAATTAAAATTAACTTACAAATACTCATAATTTTATTCAAAAAATAAGTAATTTATATTGAAAATGGTACAATATAGTTTGTCCCCTTAAATTATTATTATGATAATACTTACTCTTATAAAAGGTAACAATTTAATCTACCAAACGTGTATTCATAATTAAAAATAATTAACGAAGTTAATATACTCGTTTAAATTACTAAAACATCCCTAAACCCATGCTATACACATTGATCATAATTTAAAAATTATGCTCTATAAAATAATAGTCTTATTGTAACAAAAGATATAATTAATTAGAAAATTATCTCTCAATCAATTTGTCAAATAATAATTTTCATTATAAGAATAAAAAAAGAATGAAAGTATCCATAAAGTTAACTCTTTATCCTATATTGTTCATTTTTCATAATTTAACAAATATTAATTGTGTAATAACAACTTCCATTATAAGCCAAAAAAAATATAAATATTTTAATAATTTACTCTCAAATTGTTATAAAAAATAATAACATTCGTTCTAACTAAAAAATTCATAATTAATCAAAAAATTTCTCTCAACGATTATGTATGCAAGGAAGTTGTGAATATAATTAATAAATGTTATGATAAATAACAAAATTATAAAAAAGTATATAATAAATTAAATAAATTTATTAATAATATAATTTTTTTAAACTGTAAATACAAAATTAAAAAAAATAAATTATTATATTTTATACTTTAAGAAATAAGTATTATCGCACTATAAATCAGGAGAGGAAGTCCCTCTAAATTATAATTTTAGACACTCTGCTTTTCACAAGATTCTACTTTTGCCAGGGTACTTCATCTTGCTATAAATGGCACACCTATTTCAGCCAATTGGTAAATTACAAAGTAAGGCTGGAAGTTAATATTTTTATTAATTTATATGGCAAATTGCAAGAGTTTGATAATTAATTACTCAACACGGAAACTCTCGCATGTGTGACCAACGCGTTGAAGTGTAGGTAGCACGTGAGAAGCCGATTGCAAATGATATCGGCCGCGTTACATTCTCCATACGAGAATCTCTGCACCTGAGCAGACGAGAGATCTTGAGGTCTGCCAAATTCCGAACCTGGGAGCCTGCGTGACAATTTAGATCTATTCTGGGTAGTACGTAATTGCATATTTGCACACATACAAAGTAGTTATGTACAAATTTGCAGAGATATAGAAAGGGGGAGGGGATAAGGACGGATTTGAGAAGTGGGGTTCGATTCATTTGGATGGTGTGAACGAGTCTCAAAACCAAATCTGGCAAATTTAGAGGGCTTGCGGCCTCGCTTGTCGTTGAAGCAAGCTGCACCGGAGGACCAGGACGACGAGGATTGCAGGCCTTGGCGTCGCAGGTTATCAATGGCGTTCAGTTGGGTATATATCTTCCGAATTACTCTTCTCCTCCTCCTCATCGCCGCCATTGTCACCGCTTTTCTTACACTCCCAGTCGAAAAGGTTCGATTTCGCGTCTGGGTCTTGTTCTGTTTGGTCAATTTGTTGATTTTGTTGTTATTTGGACGGGTTGGGCAGTTTTCATATCTGGAGTTTGCTTCTTTGTTTTCTCATTTTGATTACTGAAATATAAACTTTGGGCATAAAGTTAATTTAATAAAGTTTTAATGAGGCTGCCATTGTCACCGCTGTACTCACACTCCCAGTGGAAAAAATTCGATTTGGCGTCTGGGTCTGGTTCTGGTTTGGTCAAAATTGTTGATTTTGTTGTTATTTGAGCGGATAAAGCAATTTTGGCATGTAGGTTTGCTTTTTTGTCTGCTGAATTGGAAATTTTGGATGTTGGATGAATGGGTAATTGACTCGTCAAATTGTGTGTATGTTGTCTGAACTGATGTTCTTATTCTCGTCCAAAGTTTATCTTTGACATTTTCTTCTTGTCCCAAAATGCATATATATCCTAGAGCTGTATATTTTATTTTAATTTTATCTTTCCAAACCCATAATAAATCTGTCATCATTTGTTAAGAGGTCTCTCCTTATCAATATTTAAAATCAAATTCTGAAATAATTCTGATACATTTCTGATTAAAAATAAACTCCAATTTTTGGTAACTCTTAGGCAGTTCATTACCTGTTATTTTATGTAGCTTTATTAATATGGTTAAATAATCCGAAAATAGCTACAACAACATGTTGAGCCTGTTATTTCATATAGAGAAAAGAAGGCCAATCAGTGACTGTCATTAGGAAATTATAATATCGGTGGATTCTATGTGCCTGTGTGGGTTGAAACCTGGCTTCTTGTTATTGGTTACTGCATCCATGGAACAAGAAAAACACCGTCTGTGTAGCACAGTAGCAGTAGTTATATGTTGGAAATCAATTTTGGCATTCTGTGAAAGTAAAGGCAAGCAAAGGTTGGAAAGAGAGATGTTTTCCCCCCTTAATTTCAGTTTATTTGTTTCTTCCTAAAAGCTGCAAGGAGTCAGTGAAGTTTCTATCTATATAGGTGTTACTCAAAAAGGTTATGCGGGGAATATGAATCTTATACTTTCTTACTTATCTGAAGATTGGTTATGTGAGTTGATGTCTCTTGTTACTGTTATGTTACCATTTGTCTATATGGTTATTTCACCATTCTTCAGTAGTGTATTGTTTGTGCCAGGAAGTTTCTGATTAGAATTTTCCTCTTTAAAGTAAATTGATAGCTTAGAGTAGCTGGTTCTCTTTGTGGATAAATCTTTTTATATTTAAGTTATATGATTTCTTTTAATCTATGTTCATGGCAATTGACAAGAGTTTGTTCATTCATGCAGTTACTGAAGGACTTCTTAATATGGGTTGAGCATGATCTTGGGCCTTGGGGTCCACTTGTGCTGTAAGTGAGCTGCAGGCTTCTCTGTCTTTGTGTTCCTATTAGCTGCCTTTATTGGCTCAGTTATCTCTGACAGGTGGTTATTTGTTGTATGGAATAAAGAAGATTTGATAAATTGTACTAGATAGAGCACATTACAAGAGCTGCCAAAATTTATAATAATATCTTAGAGGAAAGTGTTGCCTCATGCATGTTTCTTTCCTTTCTTCTTCTTCTTCTTCTTCTTCTTCTTCTTCTTCTTCTTCCTCTTCTTTTTGCATTGGAGAATCCACGATAACAAGAATCTGATGTACCTTCTGTAGCCTCATTAGGCAAGTTGATGGGAATGACTGGTGTATATAGTTCAGGGGCCTTGTTGGATAATGACATTAAGCGCAAAAAAAAAAAAAAAGAAAAGAATTTATTTAATGGTCTTGCAAGAGAGAGCATTTACTGATGCACAATCACTTATTACCTAAATTTTAAATTGATTGAATGTGAGTTACTTTTAAGAATTGTTTGACTTTCATTGTGGAATGTTGCAGGGCTATTGCATACATTCCTTTAACCATTCTGGCTGTTCCAGCTTCAGTACTTACCGTATGTATTATTTTCTAATTTTTTCCTGTTTAATTCTATCTGTTTATATTGATATTCTTGTTATGCTTGAGAATTCTGGATGATTGTTTTGACCATCTGATTGGGTAGCTTTTGTCATTATCTTGTCCCTGAATCCATTTGGTATATTCCAGGCTATGGCATCCATATATATCTTCTCTTCAGTATGTCAATACAAATTAAATCTTTGTGTGTGTGTGTGTGTGTGTGTGTGTGTTTTTTTTTTTTTTTGATGTGAAGTCTGCAAGACGAATTTACAGAAATTGGCCATTGCTGCCTGACCAACCTATTTAGATGCATATTAAGGAATTTCTGCTGCTCTAGGAGCACCTTTATCTAAGAACCTCCTAATACTTCTCCCTGGTGTTTGATTGGCAAACAGTAGTCATTCTTTGTAGTTGACAGCAATTTCAGTCTATCTTCTCTACCATTGTGCTGGATAAAAAGTGTACCTCCATGATGGGCCTTCATGCATGGCTGAAGATGGTGCATTGGAACCTCTGTGTCATAGGTTCAAAGGAAAGCAGCCTCTCTGTGTGTAAGGGCAAGGCTGTCTTCATCTGAACACCCCGCCAACACCCCCCCCCCCCCAAAAAAAAAAAAAAAACAGAAAAAAAAGTGGCTGCGCTTTTTATAGTAGAGTGCTTCAAATGAGAAAAAAAATTATTTTTCTTTTCCTGCCAAAATGCTAAATCCAAAAGTAAATAGGTTAAAGGCTATATGAAATGAATTGTTTTTTTAGCTTTCTTTAATCTAAATCTAGAGTCAGGCTAATGTTAGAATATTAGGTAGACCTTAGTAGTTGGAAATTTAGGCAGTGGACTTTATGTGCCCCCTTGTTCTTGTCACGACCCAACTGTGTATTGTGAGTGGCACAAGGGTTAGAAAAGGCTACCTGAAGCAAGCCTAACCTAGTGGGAGTATTCTACAAAAATATGACAAAGTCTGCCCTGTAAACTGGACATAACCCAATTTTTTTTTTAATATATCAAATTCACATTTCAAGCATCCTAAGAGTGAGACCAGACAATTTTTAGTATAAACATCAAAACTAATACTGCAACATCATACAATCTACAGTTCTACAATAGAAGACCTGCCTAAAGCTAATGGAGCAAACTCTACTTTACACATCTATAACAAATACATAAATCTAAGAGGACTAACTATCTTAATTCTGTAAAACATAACCCTAGCCCATACATCTGTTGGGCTTTACAAAAGAGTAACTCCTCTTAGATCAGTCCACTGGCATGATAGAGGGATCAACACTAGGATCTGAAGAATGTTAAGAGATGAGTGAGTTTGACAACTCACTAAGTAATGATACGTATTCAAAATATATTGGTACAAGTATCATAATAGAACACTTTTTGAAAATCCCTTTCATAAAATTTGAATCAATAGGATAAAACACTTTAGAAACCAAATTTATTACTTTCAAATAGGAAACTGTCTCTTCACATTTGTCACATATTTTAGAATAGGGTGGGAGTTCACTTTTGTATCACATTTGTCTCACATATATGGGCTTTGAGGCCTCCAATTATATCACTTTCATAATGTTCACATTTATATCATTCATAATCAGAGTCCAATCCCTACGTGTGGGCCAAACACGACGGGCTAGCAATGCCCTGCTAGATGAGGTTTCCATCAAGGTGCCCAAAGCTAGTAAGGTCCCTACTAGCAAAGGTTATATCATAGTCTCCCTTTCTAAAGTCAATATCAAAGGTTGAAAAATATAGTTAGGTTCCACTTTTCATAATTTGGCAATGCAATCAAAGCTTTTGCATTCTTATAATTACAAGCAATAATTTCATTTCACAAAACTCAATACATATTGCAAGTTCAATGATACATGTTTTCAAGATGCTTGTCCCACATTTTTAAGACAATTAACAATGAATCATGCCAACGTTGTCATATCAAATAATTCTAGTGAAACATTTAAAATCATATAAAATCAGAAGGCATGATAACACTTTTGGAAATAAATATATACATAATTCATTTAGAAGACTTTAATGAAAACACATATTAAGAATAAGTATTAACACTCATAGTATGAATCGGAAACAATGTTATTGAATCTTTTAGCATCATATGATCTTTGGTACCAAGAGACATTTATTCCAAAGAACCTATTGTATCAAAGAATACATGAATTACAACTCTCATCCACTTCCCAATTAAGTCCTCAAGCCTGAATTTAATCTTTTAATTTAAGTACTCATCCTAAGTCCCCTTGTTATCCTAATATGTGTACTCAAGGGCATGGCTGAAATTTTGGATGACTAGCTGGTTCTTTTCCAAATTTTGGATTCAATAGCTTAACTGAAATTAGCCCAACTTCATAGGATAAGAATTTTACAAGTCAGCAAAACCAAATGTTCCCAACATATATAACCAATAGGTCTTTTATGCAAGATACAGCTGGAGTACCATTCCAGCAAAGGTGGCTATAGAGACATCCAAACACTAGTGGTGTTTTTTTTTTTTTTTTTTTTTTTTTTTTTAAATAACTCCTGGGCTATTATGTGAGGGCAAGCTAGAAGACCCAATAGAGGCCTCTTGATAGCATATATATATATAAGGATCCAATTAGGCCATTCATGGGGACCCAAGAATTAACGTATTTGACATGCAAAAGTAGGTAGATACAAAATTCCAGCATAGGCAATTTCATTGAATCCCCTTTTTCTTTATATAATCATCTCTCTTAATTATTATTAATCTCATTCATATTTTACACCCAGTGGGAGATAGCCAAGGTAGAGAAGTTATAGCATGTATTGGCTTTTAAAATTATATAGGACCAAGCATGAAGGGGGTTATATATGGCTGAGGGTTTTTGTTTTCTATTTCTCCCACAAAATAGCCAAGTCACTCGTTTCCTTCTTGAAGGTATACCCAATGTGATTCAAACAAAGGGGGTTAAGCGAAAAATTCTGCTCATACATCCAATTAAAATAATCCCACATTATATTAAATGTTTATCAATACATCAACCGCTTACTACAGAGGAAAGATAGCTCACGTGCTTGGGGTGCAACTTCTTAGAAAAGCAATGGGTTCTAATTGTTTAGTGGGACCAGGCGATTATTGCAAGCATTGGGCATGTTTCAAGGCTTTACTAATAGGAGACAATCAATTGCGACAGATTTCTCCTACACCCGCATGCACCACACCTGGCGCATGGATGGCAATTACAGAGAACAGGGGATGGATCTTCTAGCATTTTAGTGGACTGCTCACAAATATCAGGTGAGAACTAGGGTAGACAAGTAACTTAACTCGATAGGAACAAGATCTTACCTCCAATGTCTGAAAACATAGAGCCAATAGTGCAAAGAAGTAGCTAATCAGCTGGATATTCTTCCTGGAGAGTCAAACCAAAGGTGGCATCTTGCTTTTAGCAGCTTCTCTGTACCCAGCACAAAACACTCACCAACTAGCCCATCTCAATAAGAGAAACCCAGAAAGAAGAAGGGTCCTCGTTGGTTTGGGTTGGTGGAAACCTGAAACACGCAACTGGGCTGGAAACTTGTATTGGCAGTTTGTCTCAGCTGGGTACAGGAGCTAGATAGTAGTGAACTCTCCCCAAAACATCTCGAGTACAACAGAACTGATTGATGATGAAGAAGAAGATTAAAAGAGGAGAGATGATGGGGAGATTATTGATCCTTCAGGCCCCAGTCCTCTCTCTAACGTACTAATATCTGGCTAAGTGAACAAAAGGAAAAGCATTCACGGGTGGGTCTCTCTCTTAAACATTGAGGGAAAGTCAAATTACCCTTTTGCCCTCTCTTTCCTTGCTTCTTATTAATTAGTCCTTTAACACATGGTAAATTCCATCAATGCCTTGAACAAGTTATTGGTTTCAATTAAATCCTCAAAATACAGTTTCATCTTGCTTTAAGTTCCAATTAAATCCTCAACATTTTAAATTCCAGCTTAAATGAGTCTCAAAACATAATAAAATCAGATGGGATGTTACAGTTCTGAAGCAGCCATGTTAAACTTCAAGAGTCGTGATAGTAAGAGCTCTTTGTAACCACTGAATCATGGCCTGATAGATAGACAGATTCTTCACCTGCTACATCCAAAGATTTGCACATGGATGGTGCAAGTGTTCCATCCTAGTTCAGTACAAATGAATGACAATGAATTCAATGTGATTATTGTTGATTAAAACATTTACTCGCCTTGAGACCATTCTTAAAGATCAGGCATGTTTGGATACCGAAAGTGATATTTTCTTTCCTTACAAAATATTTTTGGTTTCATGAATCTCTCCCTCTGTCCCAAAATTGAACTAATAATTGAACTTTGAACTAATAATTTTGTCTTTCATTTGCTGTTGAGAACCAATAGTCATCCTAAAAATGAGCCATTATCTACTGATATTTTCTTCTGAAATTCACATCAGTTGGGGAACTGACCAGTCCAAGATGCTTGATAGATTATGGTTTAAAATACTATGAAGAAACAGAATAAAGTGTTCACTTTCCTGATTCTTTTTGCCAAGTGCACAGGATCTCACTTTGCTTTTGGATCTGGAAGATGGTCTAATCTCATTTATTTGGTTTGACAATTTGAATTAGTTCAAATATTCTGACAGCATTGATTGGTTGAGTACAATTGTGTGCTAAATTATTTGTAGTCTCTCTCTCTATTTTTTTTTTTCAATTTATTCTTGTGTTACTGTCTCTAATTCCTTTATTTTTGAACCTTCCCAAGAGATGCATGTTTGGGAGACACTCTACCTATTCTTCTTTTTCCCAGTTAAATGGAACCTTACATTGATTTAACCTCTTTCAGCTTGGTGGTGGCTATCTGTTTGGCTTGCCGGTAGGTTTTGTGGCTGATTCTATTGGTGCTACTATTGGTGCAGCTTCGGCATTTCTTCTTGGCAGAACAGTAAGCTTCTATATCTTTTTGAGTTTTTTTTTTTTTTAATAGTTTTTTTCCCTGCCCTGCTTATATGGCTAAGAGATACATGGTTGGAAGTATAAGACATTTTTATTCAAGTAAGTTTTCTATGTTACTGTTTTCTGTTAAAACCAATTATAGAGGGATACAGCCCTCCTTTTCTAACGCAGTCCTTCTCCTTTGAAGTCCTTTTTTTTTTTTCAGGAGCTGGCATTTAAATTTCTTTTCTTTTCTTTATTCTTGGACATGTTATGGTTATTATTATTTTTTTTGTCATTTGTTAGTATCTGAAAGTAGGGACATTGAAAAAGAGAAGCTTTGCTCACTTGTTGTCTCTTATAAGTTGTTTCATTTTCTAGATGCATTTATGTGATCAAATATTCTTAACAGATTGGGAGGTCTTTTGTTACTTCCAAGCTGAAGGATTATCCACAGTTTCAGGCAGTTGCTATTGCTATCCGTAGATCAGGCTTTAAGGTATTGTGTATTTCATATTTGATCTTCAGCATTTCTCTTTGCCTTTAATGATTGTATTTCATTTTATATTTTATTTTCGGCTTTGTGCTATTAATTTTATCAGTTCATTGTTCCACAATGATAAGGATTTCCCTGATGCCAAGGCCATTGCTCCACAGTGGTGTGACATGGCATCAGGGTGGTGGGATAGGGGTTCAGTGCTTACCTTTTACTCAATTAAGTGAAAAAACAAAAGAAGAAGATGAGAAAATTTCCCTTTTCTTTCACTGAAATGAGATTATTAAGTGTTGATTTAATGGAATTCTTTCACTTTTGATGGCAATGACCAAGTGCAACTTAAACAATGAGCTTCATAATTTAATCAAGCCCTTGTACTTCTGCTTGAGAGGGTATCGTATCATATTTAGGTGGTCTACTAATTTCAGTTATAGATAGTTGCCATTTTTTCTTTTTATCTTTTGTTGTTATTGTTATTATTTTGAATATCGCTGGTTCCTATTTTTGCTTCTATTGGTATCACCATTGTAGCTCTATGATAATCATTATTTATTTATTCTTTTGTGACCACTATGTCCAAGTTTTGAACACTTTTTTCATTGGCAGATTGTGTTGCTGCTTCGACTTGTTCCCTTACTTCCATTCAATATGTTGAATTACCTCTTATCCGTGACTCCAGTTCCATTTGGAGAGTACGTGCTGGCTTCATGGTTGGGAATGATGGTATGAGAATTACTGTTGAAATGTTATTAGTAATTCTGTGGAGGACTGCTAAGAATTCATGTGGTCTTAAATTAGTTACATTGTTACTGGGCTGATTATGTATATCTGATGTTATTTTTCCTATTGTAGGATTTGATTAGTTGATACATGTTTTTGGTTTATTCTTCTGGGTTGATCATTTGGCTTCCATGCTTTTGATGTTGCTAATGTATCTAACATTTTTTATTTACAGCCCATAACTTTTGCATTGGTATATGCTGGAACAACTTTAAAGGATCTTTCTGATGTAACACATGGATGGCATGAGTTTTCAAAAACTCGTTGGGTAAGAGCTATGTGCCAGTGTTCCTTTTCATCATAAATTGATGGTAGCATTTTTTCTTCTTCTCCCTTCTGATGTTAGTGAAACGCATGGGTTTGTTTCTTAATTAAATCTTCAGATAGTTTGTTGAACACATTAGATTTTTTACGCCTTTCTTCTTATCACCTACAAATTTTTATTATATAAGAAATGACTGCCTTCTGAAAACATTCTTCTGATCTCTTGAGATTGCAAAATTTCCACTAGTAGTTCTTGTTTTGATGATTTTCTCCTGTCAATTTTAATTGATGTTTGACTTTGACCCTTGTTTAACCTAATGATAGTTTCCATTCTGGGTAGTCACAAGACATCTAGTTGGCTAGGATTCAGCTATATTTGGCTGTCCATGAGCAGTTTGTTGGTCAATGAAAATGGAAACCATTTATATATCTAGTTTTTGCTCCTTGCTTGCATTGGTATTTTGATCTATTTGTTCATGGCTCAAAAATGTCTATTAGAATTTACCTGTGGTCTTAATTTATGATATCAGTTTGTGCCCTTTTTTGTTTATGGTTGACCATGACTTTCATTGTTTTGCTACTAATGTAGGCCTGTATTGGGCTTAGTTTTAGAATTTGCCCAATTTAGATTGGATGAGACTCAAATTGATTGGGCCTAGGGTTAGAATTTGGTTATTTTAGATTGGATGAGGCAAATTTGAAAACAAATCATGAGGGCTTGCCTATGAGCACCTTTGGCTTATAAGTAGCCTTAGTCAAAGGTATTATTGCCTAGTTACTGCTGCATTTTTTTTTCACAGTTGGGTCTTGTGGAGTTCATGGAGGATATGAGTATAGTTTCAAGTGGTTTATTAAAATTGTTTAATGAATTCTGATATCTGTTCATTTTTTTTCTTCATGCAGGCTTTAATTGTAACAGGCTTTGCAACATCTGGTGAGTTAAAATTTATGGCTTTGCAAACATATGATTATAAATGTATATCTATTTACTTAGTTGCAGTAGGAGGTGACATGTTTATATTGTATGCCATACCTTGTTTATTCCAATCTTCAACTATGACATATTTGTTTTTCTTTTTCAAATTTCAGTGATATATTCCATCTAATTAATTGATATACAAGAAAGATGCGATTAACCTTGCAAACAAGGCCAAAATTGGCAATTTATTGATATGGTAGAATGGCTACAATTACAGTTTATATATCAATTTTTTAAAAAATTTTTAGCATATTGAACCATCACTTGGACAGAAGTGAGCCATCTATTTGTGGATAAATAGAAGGTAAGCTGCTGAACCCATCTCAGATTAAGCTAGAGAAGTAAATGTGGGTAAGGAATATCTCTATTATGATGGATTTGTATGTTTTCCACTTCACCTTAATTTTTTTTCCCAGCTCTTAATGCCACGTTGATGGTGTGAGTTTTCTTTATAGAGAGTTTTTGGCCCTATATAATGGAACAATTATCATGATCTTGGAGTGTAGATATTCTAAATTGAAAAATTATAAATTACAGAGGAAAAAAGAAATTTGGAAATACAAAAAATCTGTTTTTTACCAAACATCAGGGAAAAGATTTGTTGAGATGAAGTACTGCTTGTGGACTCTGCAAGAGTTGAAGTAGGATACTGAGGGACTAGTTTCCTGAGTGTTTAGATATTCACCTCACTTGCCACACTTCAGTTTCTGGACTTGACGTTTAGTACATAACTCTATTTCCTGTTGCTCTTCAATCTACAGTTAGCTAACTCTATGTGGCAGATAGCACATTGTACTTATTTATTTATTCTAAATTCAGACAAATTAATCTTCTTTCTTGATTTCCTGCATGCAGTTGTTCTACTGGTTTGTGTTACCAGAGTTGCCAAGTCTGCTCTAGAGAAAGCCCTAGCTGAAAATGAAGATATAGATAGCATCATTGCCTCACCGGAGCTACCCATTGTGGCTAATCCAGGGGCAGATCTTCAGCAGCCACTCATGATCAAGATTGACCGCCCTGAAGATGATCATGAAAAATGAGAAGTCTGCTGTTTGTAAATTCCTTTCATCTAGATTCAAAGCTTCCTCCATGATCTGCATGGATTTAGAGATGCTTTTTGTTTCTTAATTTGTACAGTCACACAACAATATGTAGCTGGTGTGGTAAAACTATTCCCCCTTTTTATTGTATGTACGGTTATTAAATGAAACAAAGCTAACATGGTAAGATCTATGAAATGAAAATTTCCCATTACATGGAAATACAGCTAAGGGAAGGTGACTTGGTACGCACATTTTATATTGGTAGTTTCTGCAATATGGTTGCTCCTTATATTTGTCCTTTCGGATTGCATTTCAATAGTTCCTTCAGTTGATAAAATTTAAGGGAAAATAAGAGGAAGATCTAGCTGGTAACTTGTAAGTGGGGCCATTAGACTTAACTTTTTCAGCTTATGCATAGAGTTTTTGAGCCCCAAGAAAGTTGCCAAATTTATGAGCATGAAGTTTACAGTGTTTTCCAGACTTGAGCCCAAAAGGAAAAAAAAGAAAAATTCTTAGCTTCAAGCAAAAAACTGGACACAAGTCTAAAAGACCTGAGGTTTTGTTGTTTTTGTGAAGGCACTGTCTCTCGCTCTCCTCTTGGATGGTAAGGTGAGACCAATTGTCTCCCGGCGCGATCATTTAGTCTTTGATTTTTCTAGGACTGTCTTGTTGTTCTGATAATTGTTTGGTCATCTTCTAGCTGATAACCTCCACCACCATCTAGCACCTTTCTGGTCCTCTCACCCGCCTACCCGAACAGTGCTAAAAGGGGCACGATCGACCATGTGACCCCCAAGTGGATTGTGGGTCAGAAGTATAACCACTTCATTATGCATCTTTTGTGTTGTTTTGGGGGCAAAGAAACTCTCTATCTGTGGTGAATGGTGAGAAACTAGAGAGATCCTACTCCTATCTTGTGTCTTTCTTTAAATATTTAAAATCTCTCTCTTCACATTAAATGTATATAAAGTTTAATGTTTTTGAAGCAAACAAACAAATAGGGATCATAGAGAAGGACGAGAGTTCATTCCTGATACGACTAGAGGAGATCCACTGGAGTGTGCAGAAATCCATCTATATTCTATATGGGATTATGGAGGAAAAGTAAATCAGAAGGCATGAACTCCAATGATAAAAGGTGAAGCAACATCATACCCAACCTCATCATGAAGTTTGGTTCCGTATGGTTTGCTTTTGTTTACTTTTCTTTTCTTTGGTTTGTCTTCTTTTCCCTCCCAAACAAAAGTAAAAGAAGCCTCAAAAAGAACGAGAAACGGCCTATTTCTTCTAAAATTTTCTCTTACCATCCTTCACTTTTCTATCCCACTTTCTATATAGAATTTGCAGGGTTGGGTTCCCCTGTCCCTACCACTCCCTAAATCTTAGCCCAACTCACAGGGGATAAAACTTTCTACTACCCATCTTATATTGTATTTTTTGCACCATCTTGAGCAAATGGACGGTTGACCTCCCGGATTTCCTACAATCCAATGACCAGGATCACCGGAATATGGGAATCCAATACCAAAAACACCGAAAACGTAAGATGTACACTGTATAGTATACATAGAGAGGAGGGAAAAAAAAGATAATGAAACGATCTCCTCATACCACAAAAGCATGAGAGTTTCAAATCCTAGGCTTGGCCACCGAACACTCCCAATCCCCACAAAGAAATGCCGAGGCACAGCCTTCTTTCGCTCGTGAGCTGCTTCAATGGCTGCCGTGACCGCCCACAAGTCTCGGGCCTTGGCACCAGGATTTGGAACCTAAGCGATAAGCCCGTGGAGCTTCAAATAAGGGTGGGATCAATATTGAAGAAAGTTCATACGTTAAAACCCGGCTCTTCAAAGAGACTCAAGTGCAAGAGCATCTACAAATCTTACATGCCTACTGGCGGCCGCGGCGGCGAGGTGGGGATGAGGGGCCTGTTGTACTACTATGATGAGACTTGCCACCCTTATATTTGGATACATGACACCATGGGTATTTTCTCGAGGATGGTGAAGCAACAGTACATTAGTCTTGAGGACTTGAGGGATTGTTCAGAGATCAGGATCTTCAGAGACCATCAAAGAGGTTGCATATCGGTTCGGAAGAAGCCAAGGCCGGATTTTTGTTGAAACTTATGAACCATTTTTTTTCCCTCCTTTTTCACAGTAAGTTTGTGTACCAGAAATGGGATTACAGTGTATTTTTCCTTTCTTCTTCTTCTCTTTATTTTGTTTTACCCTCTTTTCATCATCTGTTTTCTGGGATTTCTTCTTGTGGGGTTTGAAGATTTGAACGAGGTATAGTTATGTTTCATATGTACTAAATATGAACCTAGGGTTGTTGTATAATGCAAATATTGGATCTTCCATTTTGGATTTGTAGTATGTTTTCTACTTTCTAATATTGTTTCTTGTTTTCCTATGCTTTTGAGAATGGAAAATACTGGAAATCTTGACATTTCTATTGTTTTAATGTCATTACTATTGTCGAGTAAAAATATTTTTAAAAATCCTAAAATTAACTTTTTGTTCTTGAGCAAAATGAGTCTTCTTTTATCAAGAAAAAGTTTTTTAAAAATAATATTAAAACTGTTTTATCTATCAAAAAATAAATTATTTTCAAAACTAGTTCCAAACAATTATTTAATAGTGGATGTAGGTATATATATAAGATACTTCCTGAAATGGAGTGGATTCCATTTCTCGAAACATATATTTTGAAAGGAACAATTATACACTCCAAACAGGATTAATTTTAATTCATCAAATAGACAAGGAATCACGTAGTAAAGATGAAAAAATTTACCTAATCCAGTAATTGAACTAATCAAACCCTACATTGTCAATCAATGATATTTTGGTAATTACACAAGATCATAATATTTTTTTTCAAAAAAAATTAGGCCCTTTTTTTGGCTTAATTTTAGCTTATAGTACCAACAATGACCTTGCTTCCATATATGGTGGAGAACATAATTCCATTAGGCAACCCCCATAAGTTGCCTAATTAAGGAGGCGGCTTAAACTCCAGCAAAAATTGGGTAAAATTGCAAATCAATCTCACATGAGAAAGAAAACTATGTAATATATGTTACTTAAACTTATTGAATATCTTTTTTTTTTTTTTTTTTGTGGGGGGGGGGGGGGGGGGGGGGAGGGTAGGGTTAGGAGGAAGAAGAACAGAACATTACGAAACATGTAGACAAAATAAAATAAAAAAAAAGGAGCAAAAGGAAAAAGATTAAGACCAAATTCATGTCGTTTTTGGAGAGGGTGAGGAAGGGTAGGCCATAGTGCAGCTTTTTGTTCACTCAGCATATTTTCAGATTTTGATGCAAATATTAATTTGTTATTTTGCAAATTATTTTTCTACCACAATAAAAATATAAATTTTCATATACTCCAATTTTAGATGTATAATACTTTTTGTTTTGTAGTACTAATTTCAATTGCTCAAAATAATCTTAACTTTACTTGAATAAGGTTTTCTTGATGAGAACTCTAATATAAGAAATTTTTTATGTTTTCTTTTTGAAGGAGAATAAAGTAAATTCAAGTCGATTGAGATTTTATTATACGGATAATTTTTATGTTTTTGTAATTTTTTTTGTGCAGTGGCGTATTGAACGGAAAAAAATATTAAATGGCTTAAGAAATTAAATTGACTAAAAATTCTTTTTAAATTAGTTTGTATTTATCAAGGTAAATACCAAAAATATGAAATCTAAAAAAAATAAGAATAGCAAGTGAGGGTATTTGTAGTGCAATTTAGTTTGAGGATCAAATTTAAATCAAATATTATTTCGTAGTTTGTAATTTGTAGAAAATAAACCAAATCATGGTTGAAGATTTGGTTCACTTTTAAACCATAGATTGTAATTTGTGAAAATATAATGATTTAAATTTGTTATATTTTAAAAAATTTAGATTGAATTTCTCTAAAAATCAAACATTTAAAATTTTTTAATCTATTTAATTTAAAAAATTCATTATTCGTAAATTAATCACAATGATTACCTATTATATATATATAGTACATTTATATAGCATAATGGCATTTGGATTTATACGTATAAAAATTATTTTTGATAAAGAAAATAATCATTTATTAGAAAAAATACAAATATAAAAAAGAAATATACATCCATTAAAGATAAATTATATGTATAATTATAAAAATTTTAATTCGATATATAAAGAAATTGATCAATTAACAATAATGTAAATGTGAAATATTATATAATTTGATTTATTTTATATAATTTGTTGAGTAGACTAATTTCAAACTGAACTATATAAAAAATCTCATTATAAACAAAACCAAATCATCATTTAATTAGTTTATGTAATTTAATTTAATTTTTTAAACATTAACGATAATAAATAATAAAAGAAGTGTTATACAATTTTTTCATATATTTTATTTTTAATATATTAATATCTTAAATTTAAAATAAGAAAAGGGCAGCATCAAGAGTTAGATTTAAAACTCCTAAATAAATTTTGTAAGTGTTTTATTAGTTAGGTTAAAAGTAGAGGTCAATTTATTTTATATTTTTAGGTGGCCCTGCGAAGGGTTAAAAGTATAGGTCCATTTATTTTATATTTTTGGGTGGTCTTGTGAAGTGGAAAGCTTGGGAAAAAAATAAAATATCCGTTGGGTAGTATTCCCAGGAAAAAAAAATTGATATACATCATTAATTCCAAATTTCCAAAAATCCAAAATACCGTTAAATCTCGATGATGTCACCAGCTTCAACCCCAACGCTGCAGATCAGTAGAGAGAGAGAGAGAGAGAGAGAGAGAGAGAGAGAGAACTAGGGGAAAGGGAGGGGACGACGCATCTCAGAAGTCAGATCCATCCACCAAGCTCGAATTGCCGACTTGCAATCGGAAATCCTGTAAATCCTCAACTCTCTCTCTCTCTCTCTCTCTCTCTAGAATTATGGGGATTTCATGGAGCAGCAACAAGAGGAGGACCAGCAATTACTATCACAATCCTTACCACCACCCACATCCTCACCTCATTGCTTCGTCTTCTTCCTCTTCTTCTTACTCTTATGCCTCCGAGTCCTACCCTTACCCTGCGCCCACTCCATATGCTTATCCTGCGCAACCCCTTCCCCCGCCGCCGGTGCCTCCAATTTGTCCTTCTCACTACTACTACGGTGGGTACAGTGCGTGCAATTACGCAAACCCTACTATTAATCGGGTCAATGTGGGTCCATATTATCCGTACCCGAGCAACGTGTGGGCCCGGTTCGTCCCGCTCCGGTGACATATCTGCAGCCACCGGGGTACGTAGATCACCAGGAGGCCAAAAAGGTGAGGAATGATGTGAATGTGCATAAGGATTCTCTGCGGCTGTTGGCTGATTCGCAGAACCCTGATCATTATCTGGTCTCGTTTGATTTCGATGCGTTGTTTGATGGGAGGTAAGGGCTGCGTGTTCCTCTGTTTGCATATGCAGAATTGTGCTGAATTTATCCATGTAGCGCATCGATTTAGATTTTTCTTGTTCTTAATCTTAGTCTCGAGTCTGTGAAATGTTATTTGTATATAACAATTATGAAAAATGGTCTCGTGAATTAGCTTAAATAGTATCAGTTTGTTTGGCGACTTAGAAGAGAGAATAGAAAGGAAAGTGATTTCTTTTAATGAAGTGAAGAAAAGAAGGAAAAAGTCTTGTTTGAATAATTGAAGAGAAATGAAATTCAAAGAAATGCACATCATTTTTTTTTTCTCTTTCCATGCTTGGCTGAGTAAATTTGGTATTACAATATTTAAGGAATAAGCAGTTGCTTCTCTCTCCAAATCCCTCCAATTCTGGGGGGATTCAACATGGGTTACCGGGGGTTTTGAATTCTCTCATTTTCTCTAAAAAATTTTCCTAAAATCTAATCCAAACAAGTTAATTGGAGGGAGATACTTTCAATTCTTTTCTTTTCCCTCCAAATCCCTCAGTCAAACAAGCTGTAAGGGGTATTTTAATGTTTCTATAGTCTGACAAATAACATTAAAATCTTTGTGTAAATTGGGTTAAAGAATTGTTTTGCTGGGGTAAAAGGGGTTGGGGATTGGCTTATTTGTTCATATCTCCTACAATACCCTGTTTGGTAAACAAGAATAAGGGAATTCTAGTTGGCTATACAACCCTTGTTTGTCACAGTAAGAGATAGAGAAAAAAGATAAACAATACCTTTCCTCTTGATATTAAGAAACATGAGCCATTATGCAATAGCATCTTGCCCCTTGGTATGACTAATTGCTTATGCTTTGGGCATTGGATCATGATTTAAAGGGCCACTGCATGAATTCCACCTTATCCTACCTTAGTTGATTCCAAACCAAACATAATACTGCCTACATTTAATCCTACATATTCGGTCCCTTCTTATCCTTTCCCATGAGTTCTACAATTTAATCCCGCAACTTCAAATCCTACTCTAATAATATCAATATTCCTAGTCCCTTCCTAAAGGATTGTTTTTACTGATTCTTTTAAAGACTAAAGGCATGCATCTCAGAATCTGAAATGGAGGTGTGATTGGCTAGAAACCAAACAATTATGCTTCTATGAATGCCAACAATATTAAATTATGTTATGGAGTTGTACCTTTATCTAACTTTCTAATGATTATCTTCCAAAATTCAGGTAACTGTAGAAGTAATTCCTAAACAAAACAATGCCTATTGTACAGCAACTCAGTTCTGTCAGTCTGTCATATTAATAAGAAGTTGTGGACTTAGATGTATATATGACCGTAGAGTAAGTTTCAGCAGCAAAGATATCTTGTCATACTTGTTTGAGGCACCTCAAAATGCTGAAAAGGTATGTCTTGCTTGGATACAAGTGAGAAACTTTATGAAAAACCATCAAATTAGAACAGAAGTTTTCACAAGAAACCACAAAGTCGAGAGAGAAAATTGTTCAAATTCATTGTTATCAGTTCTGAAATAATTAGTAATTTAAATCTAGTTGTTGAATACACCAAAAGCCAATATGTGTAGGTAATTCTTCCTACAAACTTAAGATGTGTAAATTAATTAATTCCTATGGAGTCAAATATCTCAAATTAAGAAAAATCCTTAGTGTTTGAACTTACAAAATCAAGATAAACTTGGGTAACAAACTCTTGCTTCCCATTTTTGGCCATGCAAGATTAGCACTAGGTGCCAGCTGCTGCATAGGCATTCACAGCTGATGTTCTCTTCTAATTATTCTGACATGGCTATATATGCTGCCAGGCGTGAAATTTGATTCATCTTCATTTAACAGCCCGTTTACTGGAAAGCTGCAATCTATGTTCTGATGGAAATTGTATATAAAACCGCCTGCTTGATGACTTTATGCTGCCATATGCATACTTTCTAATTGTCACTGGGCATGTTTGGCGGCATATTTGAATGCTTATACAATGTACTAAGATTACAAATAAATCTAGTTATTGTGTAACTTCGTTTATGATAAGATCTGGTTGATAAAAATGAAGAAAATCCAAATTAATTCTAAGAAGAATCAAAACAAGAATCTCACAATGATTTCTTAGGATTCCTAGTCCTTGTAAAGTGGACAATCCTCTAATACAAGATAATTCAGATATATGAATTAGTAGATAAGAGGTCAAGGGTGGTTTTTAAATGAATTAGATGTTGGTTAAGGTCCGGGCTATAAGTCAAAATATCATCAAAAAAGGCTGGGATGAATTTTGGTAGATATGGTCAAAATAGGTCATTCATGGTTGCTTGGAATGTGGATAGCGTTTGTAAGACCAAATGGCATAACAACAAACTCATAATGACCTGAATGAGTTCTAAAAGCTGTTTTATGGATATCCTCAAGATGAACCCTTATTTGATGATAACTAGATCTAAGATCAATTTTAGAAAAAATGGTAGCTCCATGAAGTTCGTCCAAGAGTTCATCAATGTTTGGAATGGGATAGTTATCAGGAATAGTAATCTGGTTAAGGCTCCTATAATCAACACAAAATCTCCAACAATAATCCTTCTTTTTGACAAAAAGGACAGGGCTAGCAAAAGGGCTTGAACTATGGTGAATGAAACCAGATTGTAGAAGGTTGGATACTTGTTTTTCAATCTTAGATTTTTGGAAATAAGGATAACGGTAGGATCATAGGTTAGAGGGTTTTGAGTTAGGTAACAAAGGAATGTAATGAGAATGTGACCTGGATGGTGGTAATGTAGTAGATTCATCAAAGACAGATTTAAAAGATGATAAAAGTGCTTGAACTGCATCAACATAGTTAACTGGAATACCTGAAGGATCATGTAATTTACAAAGAGATTGGAGAGCTGCATTCTCCTTGGCATTTGATTGAACACCCTGTAGTTTGTATCTCTTGCCATCTAAGTGAAAGATTATGGACATCTCATTCCAGCTAGCTTGAACCGTATTAAGTGAAGCCAACCATTTAATGGCCAAAACCAGATCGGCACCACCAATTGCAAATGGATAAAAATCTTGGGTAATTACAAGATGTGGTAACTTTATTGATATTTCTTGACAAATCTGATTACAACGGATAATTTTGCCATTCCCAATTTGTACTCCAAATGAAGAAGTAGGCTGTGTTGGATGTTGAAGCTCCTCCACGAGATTATTAGCAATGAAATTATGCGTGGAACCACAATCTACTAAGAGAATAATAGATTTGTTGCCCAAGATACCCTTTAATTTCATGGTGGTAAATAGTCTTCCCAAGAATAGCATGCAAAGATATCTTAGCAAATTCAGCTTCTGTTATTTCTTTTTTCTCATGGGCAAAATTGACTTCTTCCCCTAGTCTTTCTTGCTCTTCATCCTCTGCAATTTCCATGAAAGTGAGAGTTAACTATTTGCAACGTTGGCGTGGAGCAAACTTGTCACCACATTTGAAACAAAGACCTTTCTCTCAACATATCTGTCTTTCTACATCCCAAGTGCGAGGTTGCAAAGTTGAAGCCGATCATGATGTTTGTGTTTTGAATTGAGTTATTTGGTTTCTCGATTGGGTTATATGTGTTGCACAAGCAGATTGAAGGAATTTTTGTTGGGTTGAACTTGCATTATTGTCATTACCACCAGGTGTGCAACTGGAATTCCATTGTGAGTACTTCACCCCCTACGAGAGTTGACTTTGGCCTTAAATTCTATCACTAAACTTAGGTGGTGTATGGTACGATAGAATACTGTTGAGAGAATGGAAATGAAAATGGTAATTTTAAAAAAATGTGTTTGGTAGGTATTTTGGAATGGGAATCTTTATTTCATAGGGAATGAGGATTCCATTAAATGAGGGAATCCGGATTTCATTAGTAGAGTGATGAAATTTGGATTTCATCGCCTGATGGAATCCTTATTTAGGTATATAATTACTATAATACCCTTTATTTTTTAAGTAAATGACAAAGATATATAATAAATATAAAAAATTTTAAGTATTTATGATATTATATATTAATATATTATATATTGTATATATCTATTATAATATGATAAATTGGATAATATGATTATATATTATATATATCTCTAGTATACTATAATAAATTATATAATATGATATATTATATTATATATATTATATAATTTATTAATATATATAACTTATTATATATATACATACAAACACATATATATGAATATAATATTTTAATGTTAGAATATAAAATTAATCTTTTAAATTTTTTTGTTTACTTTCCTACCCCTATTCCAACATGCCAAACATAATGATGAAATAAGAATTTTTCTTCCATCAGTGCGTACTAAACATACTCGTAGGAATTTTGATTTCATTTCATTCCATTCCATTCTCATTCCCACTTCCATTCCTATTCTATCAAAAATCATTCCATCATACCATACGCTAGCTTAGTGCTTGGTACACTAATCGAGGCTCATATATATGAACATCAGTTTCAATTCATCCTTCAGTCCATTGATAAAAACTCCTAGTAGGCAATGTCCTGGCCAGTTTTTTACTCATGCTACTCTTCTCGCAAACTCCTGCCTGTACTTGTGGATGGTTCCTGTTTGTTTCACACTACACAATCATCCGGATTCTGAAATTCTGCTAGACCAAAATTCTCCTAGAGTGTCGACGCCAATTCCTCCCAATACAATAAAGTTCTTTCATTGCTGATCCAAGAGAAGAAGTCTAGTGCATCACCTTCGAAGTACATGGATGCAATGTCAACTTTGAGGTCTTCAGGAGTTTGATAATATCTGAAATACTTTTTTGCCTTCAATATCCTTCCACTAGGGTCACCACCTTCAAATTTTGTGAATTCCATCTTCATATAAGGCCTACGAGTTTGATTCCTAATCCACCATGAATTATCAACATATTCATCTTCTTCTGGCCACGAAAACCTTCCCTTGTTTTGATTACAGTGTGTCTGATTTTTTTCCCACTGAATTTCGACTTTTTCTTCTGGCCATTGTTGTCTATCCATGTTTTGATCTTGTTTACACTGGGTTTTTCCATAATCTTGCATCTTACGGCTGGATTCTGGTTGCTGTTCATTGTTGGCTTAATCTTTGAGTGTAGCAACTTCTGCAGATAATGAATCTGAGGTCTGTAATTTAGATGAAATAGTGGCCAACTGCTGTAAGATGGTGTCTGTAAGAGGGTTAGGATTATCATTCAGGGAAGCGTTGGATCTGGTGTTAACCATGATGGATCCACTGCTCTGATACCAAAATGATAAGAACTGATTGATTAAAATGAAGAAAATACAAAGTAATTCTAAAAAGAATCAAAAAGCAAGAATCTCACAATGATTTTTTAGAATTCCTAGTCCTTTTAGAGTGGACATATCTCCAATACAAGATAATTTAGATCTGAAAACTACGCCCTAATTTAAATTTCTAATGTATTTATATGCTACTAATGGCTAATAACTTATTGTAACTGCTTTTAATTTGCTGGAAATAACCGTTTCTTCTTTCTAACATAAGTAATTAGGGGTTTCTTATCAGTTTATTTGGAATGTGCCCTTTCTCGAGCCTAGTACTTTGTCAGTTATGCTTTATGGCTAGGTATTAAATGTCTTCCTGAAACAACCACCAGAGAGCTAGCTACACTTGCTGATACTTATGCTGTTATGAAGCTATTTGCTTGGCTAGACATTTTTCTATAGAGTGAACCAAAAACTGGCATTAAAAATTTGTCCATGTCAAAGAATATCTTGTTTTTGAGTTTTTCTGTTTTTCAACTTCTTTCTTCTCTTGGCCTGTCTAGTGGATTCTTTCACCTCTCCTACTTATTACATCCAGTTGTGCATTTTCCTCTAGCTGAAATTTTCAGTGAGAACACGTTAGTATCTTGAAGTCTCTGATTTTGGTCTTGAGTCCCTGTTATTAAATAGTAAAGCTATTTATTTATTTTAATATTCATGTTTCCATACAGGCACCACATATTTTAATATGTAAGGTATTGCCAATATAACAAGCAGAAGAAATACAGGTCCTTGGCAAACTGCATAATCAGCCTTTAGCCTAGGTGGATATTTTTGCAAGTCTATGAAAGAAATATCATGCTTCATTAGTCAGAAAATTTTTTAGTAGACTAACCACTGATGTTGCATAAATGCTAACATGGGCTTTTAGGGAATCCATTGATATGTTGACAACATGTTGTGCTTTAAAAATGGAATTTTGATGCATGCTTTTGGTAATCTAGATCATATAACAAGGAAACAATTTGAGAAATGGTTTCATGACATCATACTCTCTCTCTCTCTTTGTCTCTCAAACCCCCTACTGCCCATTTGTTTCTCACTTGTACATCTTATTCAGATATAGGTCAACATCATCTCCCGTACAAACTATTGCCATTAATCCACCCAATACTGCCATCATACCACCATTAACACTGAGTATCAATGCCCGAGCACTTATCACCTAAGAAAAAATGGGGATAAACCACTAGAAGTGATATTTGGGTTGTACTTTAGGCATGAGAAGGGCAAGCTAGCGGTTGATAAGCTCAAAGATTTGAAGAGCTATTAAAATTCTATTTTGTAGAAGTTATCTCTAATTATTTTTAAATTTATCTTTTTAATTTGAATGAGTCATATCGAAGACAAGCTAGTGGCTGATAAGCTCAGGATTTGAAGGGCTATTTGGATTCTATCTTTGTGATATTATCTCTGTTATTTTTGAATTTTATTGTTTTGATTTGAATATGATTGTTCTTGAATGTTTTAGAATTTTGGAAGGATTCTATCCAGGACTTCATTTCTACTATATATGTGTAAGTAGAAGACAAATTATGTTCCAGATCATGACTTGAAGCATTTGTTTTATGTACTTTAAATTTTAGGAATGAATAGTAAATCTTAACAAAAGAAGTGTTATAAATATTTTTATAAACAATTTCTAACGAAGCAAGGTATGTTGCTTTCCCAAAAAAAAAAAAAAAGGCAATGATTTTTCATTAGGATTACAATCATAATTTTCATGATTGGTTTTAGTATGTAATGTCATTATCTCATGACTAAATCAATGAATACTCACAGACATTGATTCTCTCTGTATTGTGCTTGTAAATGGAGGGTCCGTCTCAATCTAAGCATTCTGTGTTGTATAGATGGTTTATGTCTTCAATTAGTAAAAAGTTTGAAATTGATTCGGTGGATAAATTAAGATGGATTCATCAAAAAAGATAATGGTCATAATTCACATTATCTATTTTTATAGTCTCAAATTGGTCCTCTATAACTATGTGATACTATGGAGAACAAGACCCACTTGGTGAACTGTCCAAAATATAATTTTGTTTCACAGGACTCCCTCACAACAAAAAGAATTGTATGAAGGACCATATTTTATAACAAAATCACAGCCCAAACTAGTGGCTACCAACTCATATTCCTGACTGACAGTATCTGAGTCTCTTGAATCTCACTTCATGATAGGACTTGGTACTATTGCAATCAATCAAACAAGGCTCGTTTTAGTTCTTGAAGACCCATGGCTCTCTCCCAAGTTAGGACACTTGATTAATACCTCATCCAACTACCTCACCCTTAGCTATAATACCTCATCCAACTACCTCACCCTTAGCTATAAATGGTTTGCTTGACTCTCGGATGAAGTTATTTGTGTTGATTTAGCAAGCAAATTAGGATTCACACCTTTAGAATCAAAATTAGTACTTTAACTGAAAAACTGAAATATTAAATTTGCTATATTTTAAATGCAATGTCATGAAGCTCAATCATGAAAGATACCTTACTGAGAAGACATTATTATCTAAGCCTTGACTATTTAAATCTTGAGTTGCAGATTGTGATGGCATGATAATTGGTAAAAACTTGTTCTAAAGTATAACTTTCTTTATAAAACATATGTTGTTGAAAAACTGATTGTTGATGTTAAATTTGTTCTTGCAATAGGGAACAAAGAGGTATGAAGAAGATTGATGTTTGTTAAAAAAGATAAATGGACAAATTTCTATGGTGAATTCTTTGGAGATTGGTACCTCTCACCTTTCAGAGACATTTATTTCTGGCACAGACTTTGTCCTTCAGAATATCATTTAATTGTCTCTTTGATGATTAGCTTTTCAGAAGAAAGTGTTAAATTTATACCTAACCTTACCCAAAACTTTGGGTATGAAACCCAGAAAATGAAAAGCAATCGTTAGACAATTTATGGATCTAGAATAAGAAGTTGTGGATCAAAGTGTTTCTAAGTGCGGATTACATGTCTGCATGCTAGTAAAAGCTCTTTCTTATGCATAAAAAAAAAGTAAGATTACTTTTTATACTTGTATGTTCAGGATATAGTTTTTGCTGGAGGCTTTCTAATTGTGAAAGAAAAGGAGTTTGACTACTGAAAATTCTGAAACAAACCTGAACAAAGTCATTTTAGTTTTTTAATAAGTATGAAGTGTAGATGTGCTCCTTATGATTTTTGTTTGCGTTTTCTTGTGGACAGCTTCACTATATTATACTTTGCCAGAGAAGAATCTGGTTGTAGATTTGTTCCGCTATATCCCGAAGCCTACACGCCTCTTAAATTCCCTTTTCAGAAAGGAATAGGCCAGAAATTTTGTCAGCCTACAGGAACAGGCATCGACTTGGGCTTCTTTGACTTGGATGATCTTTCCAGACCATCATCAGGAGAAGATGCATTTCCCCTTGTAATCTCAGCTGAAACATGCTTGAATTCTGTCCCTATGGAAGAATATTTTGGTGGTTCTCTACCAAATTCATTCCCCCACATGCAGATTACTCAAGCTGTTATAGAGAAGAACGATGAAAATGCTTTTCATGTGAGGGTAATGAAGCAGATTTTGTGGATTGATGGTGTTCACTATGAGTTGCGTGAGATATATGGAATTGGAAATTCAGCCACAGAAAATTTCAAGGATGATGACCCAGGGAAGGAATGTGTAATTTGCATGACTGAACCCAAGGATACAGCTGTTCTTCCCTGCCGACATATGGTAAGAGTCATAGGACTCAAGTTAATATTTACTGTTTATTTTGAATAATGATCAAGAGATAAGCCTCCAGTGGATGGTAATGCTAAAGGTCATGGTTTCACATAAGATAAAAAAAAAAATGCCATTAAAGAGATGATGTTTAAGGTGGGTTAGTTTATACTATGCAGTCTCAGGAATTTGAGAAAGAAGACTAATTGAATTGAAGTCCCACAAAGCTCACAAGTGCTTGAGCTAATTTCTGGGTGCATGTTTTTCATATCAAATGGCAAATATGGCTTGGTGGTATCTAATGTGGATTAGTTTGAATAAAAGTTCAGTAAGGTTTAACCGCTAAAGAGCTTCATTTTTATGTTTTGATTTCTTATTAATGTTTTGGTGTATTGTGCTATTATCTTGCTTATTTAATGGATAAAACAATGGGCTGCTTTATTTTTCAAGAGGTTCATTCAAATGGTTGATCATGGTCTGAAAAATCTATAGTAGTTTAGCTTCTTCTGATGGAAAGTATGGAAGTTCTGGTTTTAGGATAATGGCCAACACATTTTGGGAAAATTGAAGATAACAGTTTAATCTTTTTCTGGACATCACTTTACATGGCAAGAGGTAGCAATGCTGCTAGGCATGATCGTAGTTAGAAGAGAACACTTAAGTAAACAGAACTGCCCACAAGCTTAGTCTAGTACCCTATCCACAAATTTCTTTATTGTAAGAAAATCTCAATGAACAGTACGTACGGTTATTTACTGATGCTTTGAAAAGGTTTTGATTACCATCAACATGTCACCTGATTTGCTGTATCTGCTTTTCTCTTTCTTCAACTTTCATTTGCTTACTTTCTGACTGGAGAATTTTCATTTTGTAGTGTATGTGCAGTGAGTGTGCAAAAACGCTGAGGATTCAATCAAACAAGTGCCCAATATGCCGTCAGCCATTGAGGAACTTATAGAGATCAAGATCAATAGTGTTGATCCCTGACAGATTCCTTTCTTCATATTGGATCCAACTGCATGTACAACTTTTAGATTCTTTTCTTTGCATCTAATCCTCTTATGTATGGTATTCTAGGATATGGTAGTGTTAATCATATATTCATTTTTTCCCTTTTTTTGATACTTGGTCACATGCTTCTGTATATACTAGGGTGCAAGGCCCCCTGATATTCTTGATCAGGGATATGGTCTGTCTTTTCACCCACTTGCTGATTTAGGTAGTTCTTGATAGTATAAACAAGCACTTTTGTATTTCTAGCAACCTCTCTTGCAGTGATGAAATGGTAGTAAACTTCCTTGTGTCCTCTAAAATGATAACGGACATGAATTCTCAAAATAATATTATGCTATCTATGCAGAGTGTTGAAATTCTTTTGCTTTCCCTATACTGTTCTTTATTTTGGAGGAAAAATATAATCCTGCCTATGCTAGGAATCTCAGCTCACCAACTCTATTGGCCATGGACAAGTTCTCAGCTTGGGGCTTTTAAGCTTGAAAGAAACCGAAGAAGAAAAAAGTGTAAAAGTAGTGAGGTGGAGGGATGAAAAACAAATGCAGTGAGTATGGAGATTCAAAAAGGCAACAAAAGTTAGTTTCAGGCCTACAAGACTAGATGGAAGATGAAGGTTCTAGGTGTAGGAGAGCACCTTTTTCTTTTCAATCTTAGTGGCCAAAAAGTGGTCGTGAGAGAATATTTCCCATAGAAGTTAGCAAAAGTAGGACAATCTGGGAATCTCCTAGGGTTGGCTGGTCTATAGAGGCTGTTCCCTCTGAGTTGAGTGAATGTGAACTCTGCAACTAGTTCGTTACATACCACTGTCACTTACGGATTTTCTGTCATTAAAAATTACATAATTTGCTAGAACTATTTCATAGTTTTCTTCGCAAAGTTTGGCCTGTGATTTAAATTATTCAGATGTCTAAACAAGTTCTAGTTAGGTTGCTTGAGAAAATGGAAACTATGCAGAATCAGTTTTAGCAGGCATATACATACATAGATACATAAACATATATATGCTGAATCTTCTCAAAGAAGAAAGGGTCCGCCAAAGTCTCTAAAGGAGAAAGGTGGGGTTTTAATTCTTCTCGAAGAAGTAAACAACTTAAAAGATTGAGAGAACTAGATCTCATCGAGTTGCCAGACTCTAAGCGTTCGCATGAAGCAGATACAAGGGATCCCCTATCTTGCCTTTACCCAAAAAAGGCTGATAACTGCACCAACCCTAGATGCCAAACTCTTCAGGACTAAAAGGGAGGATGAAGAAGGTGGCTGCATCTACCATGGCGACTTTTTCTTGATTCATGATCAACATATAATATATATATATATATATGTATGTATATATTCCTATTTCTGAATTTGAGGTCTAAACCAACTTGCAGCATTCCTTTGCTTGGGCATTGAACCTGGAAGTTGAGTGTAAGGCTGAATTGTGGATGATCTGGGGTTTAGCTTTGCAGAATTGTTGAGACTTGAGCCCGTGTGGACCTGTTTTCCAAAACAGTTTTTTTGTTTCTGGAAACTGAAAACCCATTTGGGAGGTTATTTTCAAACTTCTTAGAAACTGTTTTCAGTCAAAAAGTTAAATGAAAACAATAGTTTTTTTTCCAGATTTTGAGTGTTTTACGTTTTGGACAATACAGATAACCAAAAAATGAGAAAGCAAACCGGATTTGGATTAAAAAAGAGTGATATTTAGGTGTTATATAACTCCTTTTCATTAAAAACCTTTTTTGAATTCTTGATGCTAAAGTTAAATTTATACTTGAAATTGTAATAACTTGTTATATAACAACCGTTAGCGTTTGCATTGCTGATCTTAGAGCACGTGAAATGCATGTGAGAAACAATGTAGCAGAGGCAGAAATGGTTTGTTTGAATAAACAGACAATTATAAGAAGAAATTAATGAAAATGAGGTTGTTGTTGGTGCCTTACATCACTCTAAAATGAGTTTTTTTTTTTTGGAGGGAGGGGGGGGGGGGGGGGGGGGGATAATTGAAGGTGGTAAAAGATGGCAACCTCGATGTGTCAGTTTCATGGTACCTTCGTGGTCAATAATAGTTGAGATTCCCCAGAGAGAGAGAGAGGTTACATTGCTTTCAAGGATTTTGTTTTGCAAACTCAATGATGGATCACATGAACAAATAGTACGCATAATTGGACTGCCAAAAAAAGGGGAAAAAAATAATGAAATTATTGCAGAGTAAGGCTAAATTTTATCGAATATTTCTCCTTGTTTTTTACCCAGTTTCTGTCCACACGCATTCTCCCCATTCCTGCAATAATTGGAGGTTGGAGCTAAGAATCAAACTGTGAAGCTTAAGTCGGGAACAATAAAGCTTTTGGTTCTATTACAGTACATTCAGATATTTCTGTGAAATATCTTGCGTTGTATTGCAAAAAGGACCATAACAAACAGAGGAAGAGAGAGAGAGCTCTCCCTCCCTCCCTCTCTCAAATTTGAATACTGAGATGGGTTGCTGTCAACACTTTCACCACAAGAAATGAGCAAATTTACATTTTGGGGTAAGCCATTCACCTTGTAAAGAAATCTTAGAAGGATAACAAGAATTTCATAAACAATGCAAGCAGAGAGAAAAATAGGAGGTTCCTATTCAATTTATATTAACAGAAATCAAATCGAAGTAAAAATCCAAAACACAATATAAGAATACATATGTAAAGTTTTAAATTCACTACAAAACTTATTTTATAAAGATAAGAGACACTTACAATATAATTCATTATTGGTACGTAGTATGAATACTATTTTCTCTTAACTTTTACACAAAGAAATTTTTATCTATATCTATGTACTATTTACCTAAAATGTTAGTGAGTAATGGATACTAGTATGTGTTCTAGGGTTATCCATGTTTGTATGGTGTAATTTTTCTCTTTTATATTATTATCATTCTTGCATTCACTATAATTATTATGGTTAGCTGTATTCTAATGAATGTCCTCCAATTAAGTGGGGGATGCTCAAAGGTAGTTGTTCTACAATTAAATTCTTTACTATGTTGTCTCTCTTAAATTCTTAAATTCAACAGAAGTTAATAAACTATTATTTGAGTTGTTTTGGTCACAAGTTATATACATATATAGAGAGAGAGAGAGAGAGAGGGGGGGGGGGTTTCAAAATTTTGACCGTAATTCTTGTTGCTACAGCAAATTTTCCTGGAAACACTAAAATCTAGAGCAAGAATGGAGGTGGAATGGAAGGGTCAGGTGAGCATTGCTTGGCAAGGCATGTAATAATGCAAGGATTGCAAAATAGGTTACAGCATTTCCATTTATTTTTCTTTTTCTTTCTGTCAGACCTCTTTCATTTCAAAAATTCTTTCATATTTCTCTAAATGCATCACGGTGGGCCACTTATTTTTATAAATATATCCATTGTTTATATTATCACATTAAATTTTTAATACTCAACTTGTTACCTTGGCTGTTTAATAAAAATTTCCACGAGAATTTTCAAATAGGACTTACTTTTAAAAATTAATAAAAGATTACTCAAAATTCTCAGAAATTAAAATGATATAAATAATAGAGTTTTCAATATTTTTTTTTGAACTTTGGAGAATGGATTTATCTCCGAAAATAACAAAAGTTTTCGAAATATTTTTATATAAAAATAAAAATTTTATGAAGTTTTTTCCTTTTTTGGGGACGGCCCGGAAAAGAAAAAATTTTAAAGAAAAAGACAAAAAATGGAAGTGGACTGCTAGGGACCTTCGCCGTTTCATAACGCATGGAAAATTATGATTTGGCACGAAATTTGAAGGGAAATTATGTTTTGGCACAAAAAATTATAGAAACAAGGACTAAAGGTGAAAATAATTCAATTCAAACCCCATCATCTATCTTTATCCGTCCACTTCACTCCTCTTCCCGCCTCGGCCCCCTCTGGAAAGCCCATGTCGTCGACATTTGCCGGGATGTGGAGTTATGAGAGAGAGTTGTTGCAGAGATGGGTCGTTGAAGGTCGCCTCCGGAATTATCCCCTGTAAGACTTTCTCGCTCAGATCTAAAAATATAGAAACTCTAGCTCACCGAAATTCTCAAGGAGAGTGCTTTGTGATATGTTGCTCCTCGCACCTAGAGTTCGACTGAGGACGCCAACAAGGTCACTGGAATTTTGCCTCATATCTGTTGTCGCTCAAGTCGAGGGTTTGCAGGGGAAGTTCTGGGAGATGGGGGCCGCTGAGACTGCGATTTCGGTGGGTCGGAGCGACGTCTACGGTGGTAGCAGTAATCAATGGGCTCGCTACTTCAAATTTTTTCACTCTATCATCTTATTTTTCGGATGTAGCATATGATGAATTTTGTGCGCGTGTGGAGTGTTTCGGTGGTCTACAAGTGACTTCCACAATTATTCTTGTCAAGGATTGGACTATAATGGTTGTGGCTATACATGGAGAATACTGCCTGAATCTCCAGTTCTCTGATTCAGCAATCTCTGTCAAGCAAAGACTTTTTAAATAATGCTTGTCATTGAAAATTAATGATTAAGGAATATGCCGAGTGGGCCAATTCGGCCATGAATCGTGATCCGGGTGGCCCGAACCGCGGCCGACGACGGCCAGGCCGCCCCTGAAAAAGCTACGCTTTTTGAGATCCGGTCTAGGTTTGGAGAAACTTGGGGAAGAGAAAGACGGGGGACAGGGAGAGTGTCCAGAGGGAGGCTTTTGCTGGGGAGAGAGAGAGAGAGAGATCGTGGCTCTATGTTGAATTACTTTTTATTTGGTCCTTGTTTTTGAATGTTTATCATTTCCTAGGTTCCAAAACATAATTTAGCAGGGCGACGGCGAAAGAGGAGATAAAATGGGAAAGCTCCGTAGCAGTACTCAATTGCATAATTCATGAGTTCAGCGGATAGATCTCAAATCCTCCGCGATCGAAACCCTTTCAAATCATTATCGATCACCATCAAAAGCCCATGTGCTGCTCACGTGATGGGTGAACACCAAAATGGTAAAAATTGCCAAATTCACCTACTTTTAGAGGGCAGTAAATCAAAAAGAAGGCAATGCCTCTGCCAAACGCATAGATCCACTTTTCATCACAAACAAAAACCATTGATGGTTTTGTTGCAGTCAATCCAATGCTATCTTTGGTACATACACTTTTTGAGACAAGGAAAAAGGGGGGAAAATGTAAAGAAAAAAATTAGAGGGAAAATTTTTGAAGTACATTTGTTGTTAAAATTTCATTTTACTAACCCCAAAAAAAAATTTCCGAGAATGTGAAAATTGTTCAAAAGAAAATCTTTTTTTTTTTGTTGGAAAAAGTCAAACGTTTTAATAACTTAAGGAGAACATAGATCCTTTCACTTTTCACCTTCACATAGCCTCTTCTGCTGTATAATAACCTCTTCTGCTGTATAAAAACCAGCGGCCAGAAGTTTATTTTTGGGAAAATTACGGAGCCCAACCACTCGGTAATTTTAATTTTAATAATATTGCAAGTATATATTTCTATCGCAACAGAAATATTTTGAGAATTAAGATGTTTTTAAATGAATATTTTTTAATTCTGATTCTAGATAAAAATATTTTATATTTTGATCTTGAATCTTATTGAAATTATCAAGCCATTTGGCTTAGTAATTTTCCCTTAATTTTTCTACTGAAAAGTTCAAGTGAAACTGTTCAATTTTCTCTTTCACCGAACAGGCTTTAAACTTTTAAAAATAAAAGCTTCAGAGTTAAAGAGCTAGTTTCATCATTGGGTTTATTGCATAAGCTTTGCAAAAAAGGGAGTACCTACTTATTGATATCAATTATAAGCTAACCAACTTGTTTGTTAGCAAGGGGAAACACGCTTCCTCAATTTGCTATCTGTTGGAAACGGCTGACTTGAAAACCAAACAGCCCCCTAAGAGCTTGAGGGTGAAGTAGCTCATTTCTTAAGCAATTTTAATGCGACTTTTTTTTCTAAATTTGTGCCAAAAAAAGCCACAAAGTAGGGAGGGGTGCTGCTTTTCATCCTCAATACTGGCAGTCGTTCACATTTTCTTTGAGGTAAACGGGTGTCCTGAGCTGAAAACAAATGAATAAACAAGCGTTAAAAGGACAAAAGAGAGATGGATGAAGGACAAAAGAGAGATGGATGAAGGACAAAGTCACAAGGTGTTTTCCATCATGAGTTGGTCGTTTGAGAAGACAACTACTATTATGAGCTTGCAAAAGAAGGTACAAACTTTTTTGTTTTCCGATTTTTTGCTTTTGGAAAGAGTACATGTTTTTGTTTTTTCCACCCTACCCATGAAGACGGTTCGTCTTCCAAGGGCGCATGCATAGGCGGGTAGCTGCCTCTTTTAATTTTCTCCCTTTTGAGTATGAAGAAAATCTCCACAATTTGTGGTGTTTTGAAAGGTGTAGGGACTTATTTGGATCAAAATATTTGAATTAGAACTTTCGCGGAATAGCCAAAGAAAGTAGGACCAATTGCAAAAGGAAAAATGGCCCATGTCAACCAACATCTTGAAATAAAGATATTAAAAAAAAGAAGAAGAATTACGAGATGATGTTGGTATCACTTCCTCATGGTTCTCTCATTTAGGGTGAGATGGGTCTCACTCTTGCATAAGAGAGGTACAATTTTCACCGTAAAAGTTAATTATGGCATCATTAATTACAATTAGTTTCCTAATTTGATTATAACCCACCCTATTAAGTTAATTTTCTTAATAGTTTTTTCATACATGTCCATCATCCCAGTGTACTTAAACATATGAAAATGTTTTCATCTTAGATGTTGAAAACAAAATTTCAAAATTTTCGAGGTCAAAAGTGTAATTATCCTAATTAACCAGTGCCCCTTTACAATCCATTCCATCGTTACTTCTTTATCTCTTATTTTTAATTGTTAGTAGAAAGACAATTCTGTCAGAGCCCTCAAATATCAAAAATTATTAATTCCCCCAGAAAAATATGAATTTATGACTCATAAGATATGTTTTTAGTGGGTAAAAATGTTTTTTATTTTCTTGTTTTCCGGAATTTTTCTAGGAGAATTAGTTAAGAATTCAAAATTATATTTCTCAGCAATCTTTTATAGATACAAAAGTTAATCAATGTTAATAAAAAGTAAAAATAAAAATAAATATAAGCAACTATTTTTAAGTCTTTATGGATTTTTTTAAAAAAAATTAATTTAATGAGGGTGTCGGTGATATTGATTAGAGATTTTGCCAAAGAAAAAGAATATTAATTATAAAAGTCATGAAATTAATTATTTTCAAAATTATTACATTAATTATTAAACATGCATTTTAAATTTTCCTCTGACTGACATAACATAGTAATTAAAGAGTCGTACGATGTGGTAATATATTATTTATCTTCATTTAATTTAAGATTTGACATGTTGAAACCTACGAGAGTTCTTGAAGGAATGGAATGGATTGATTTTACATAAATATCCTTCTCAATTCAAAAAATTATAATAAATGACACCAAATTTGTTCATAGAGGAGAAGATAGAGAGACAGTAGGGCAATTTCATCTCACTCCCACGATGATTTTGACCACAAATGCACTGATTCCGATTTATTTATCCAAATGGGCTATTAATGCTCCCCACAAGTGTAAGTGCTTTTGCAAAAGTCCAAAAGCTATTAATCCCAACTTCCAATAAGTAATTAATTCCCTTGCCTTATTTATTACAAAAATTAATTTATTAGATTAAAATTACCATATAATAAATTACTTAAGAGGAGAAAAGGAAAAGGAAAAAAACTTTTTTATGAGTGAAAAATCAAATTTGGAATTTTCATTGTTAGAGCATATGCTAGTGTAAGGAAATAAAGGAAAAAGGGAAAGAATATAATAGCTTTTGAGTACCATCAATCAAATAAGGATAGAAAATAAAAAATAATTTAAGAAGTTGAAATTTTAGATTTTACAGCTTAAAAAAGGATTTATTTGATTTAAAATAATTCATTTTATCTACTAAAAATAATTATAAAAATTGGCATTGATGGGGGTGAGGACAACATGGTAATTTGACCATACAACCAAATGCAGATATCTGCACCAACCACTAAATAAATTCCTCATAAGGTATTTCATTTAATGAGTAAATTTATTACACCACCCAATTTGGGAGAGAAAATCTGAGGATTAATTTCATTCACATTTCGTTGGTGATTGATATACTTCGTATATATATTCATCTGGGTTGTGCTACTTCCCTCAGATCATTCACACAACCCCAGAGAGGTAACTGGTGAGTGCACCTTTTGGGTCTCTCCGCCTTTACTTTCTACAAATACTCTACATTTTTACTCAATTTAATTTTTCATGAACGATGTTCATCTATCCGTGCCCATGCCTGAAATTAGGACTCAAAAATTGTATTTGTTTGTGTTAAATTAATTATTATATTGTTGTATTTTATTATACCAGAAAATATCCAAAATTTTGAATCATCTCTTGTCATGTTTATATACTGTGTTTATCTAAAAAAAGCGAAAAAATTTGTTTGTTTGTTGTAGTTTTTTGATCACTTTGTACTAAATAAGGTACCAATTTTGTCCTGTTCATTTATATTTAAAATTCTTAAAATAAGTTAATGTCTTGTCTGAAATTATTATTCAGAATCTCGCAACATCTGATAATATACAAAAATATATAATAATTTATGTTATGTTTATTTATTTTCACTATTTTGTCTTGTTCGTTTCTATTTAAAGTTTTTGAAATAGTCCAAATTATTATTTAGAATCTTGCGATATCCAATAATGCATAAATAAATAAATTATCTTATGTCATGTTTATTTATTGTACAAGTATGTTATTTTACGTTAAATTAGTTACTGTTATGCTATATTCATATTTTTCAAAATCAATTAATTTGGTGTCTAAAATTATCCTTCTAAAATCCCACAATGGCAAAATCTGTAAGTTAGCTTGTATTATGTTGGTTTATCATATCTGTCTGTTAAATAAACCACCATTTCCGACTTATTTTGTGTTCTTGTCCAACATCTTCAGTACCATTCTACTAATTATGTCGTTTTTATTTGCGTTGGTCTATCAAATTTTGTTAAATGAGTTATATTGTCATAAATTATATTTAATTTGTTAATAAATTAATAAAAATAATTATATAATCCGTCGTATTTGGAGTTGAACAAATCTATCACGTTGTGCTGTATTATCATTATAGTTTTTTTCCAATTTTTTATTATGTTCGAAATATTATTCTATTTTAAATCCGACAATACCCAAATCCGTAACTACAATGCCACCTCCTCTCCAAAAAGAAAAAAGGAAAAAGAAAAAATTCTCGCTTTTGAAGCTTTGCCCAAGCCAAGCCAAATCCAAAGCGGCTCAAGCTCTTAACTGAACCCGAGTTAATTCCAATTATACAAGGTAAGACAGATCTACCCATAAATAAAGGCCAAAACGTTGTGGCCTGAGGCTCCGAGTCTCTCTCTTTGTATCTCTCCTCTCTGCTTCTCTGCTCAGTTGGCTACATTCTCTCTCCCCGTTTACTACTCCCCCCTCCCCTACTCTGAAATAGAGGAAGCAGAGAGGCTAATGTCCACCTACTTGTGCTTCTTTCTCCTGCATTGAGAGACTAACTTTGTTCTCTCTCTCTCTCTGTTCTCCGAGTTCGGTTCCAGAGAAGTCCCAGCAGGGAGAAGCCTATTGTGGGTTTTCTCAGTGAATACGATTTCAGCTTCCTAAGTTCATTTTTATCACTTTTGGTCTCTTCAGATCTATCCATTTTTACCTTGCTCTGTTTGAGTGGAAAAGATGAGTAAAGAAGAGCTTTTGAAGGTGAAGGTATGCGTATAGTTCCCCTGTTCTGGTGCTCTTGCTTGTTCCGGACTCGAGCTTGACTGGTTTATTTGTTTATTTATTCTGGTTTTCATTTTATCACTTGCATGCAGACTAGTGTATTGAAGGTGAACATACATTGTGATGGCTGTAGGCGCAAGGTGAAGAAAATCCTGCAAAAGATTGAAGGTATTTTTCGCATTTCATCCTTTTTTTCCCCATTTTTAATTCCTTGGCTATGGTTTTTGCAGTTTTAAACGCCGAATTTCGGTCACTATCAGCTTATTCTTTCTCTCTCCTCATGTATTCATGTATTTATTGGTTGATTTAGGCTCTGATTTGAAGCGAGATTACTTTGCAATTTCTGTTTTCTCTAGGGGTTTACACCATAAATATAGACGCAGAGCAGGGAAAGGTGACTGTGTCAGGGGAAGTAGACTCGGCCACGCTGATCAAGAAGCTCGGGAAAAACGGGAAGCATGCGGAGCTTTGGGCCCCGAACCCCAACCAGAAGGGTAATCCGGCCCAGCTCAATGCCCAATTGAAGAACATGCAAATTGACGGTGGTGGCAAGGGCGGAAAGAAGGGCGGCGGCGGCGGCGGCGGCGGTAATCACCAGCCCAAGGGTGGAGCGCAACAGCAGCAGAACAACCAGCTGCAGCAGCAACAGAACAACCAGCTGCAGCAGCAGCTGAAGGCTCTCCAGGATCTGAAGCTGCTCCAGATGAAGGATCCGAAACTGATGCAACCAAACCCGAAGGCTGTGAAGTTAAACTTACCGCAGGAGGAGGAGGATCTGAGCTACGATGAATTGGATGAGTTTGATGAGGATGAGGACTTTGACGATGATTATTTGGACGATGAGATGGATGAAGTCCCTCAGGTTCCGTTCAATAAGATGAAGCCTGTCATGGGTAATGCTCAGATGCCTAATATGATGATGAATGGGCTTATGAATGCTCAGGCCAAGGGCGGCCCCGGCGCCGGAGCAGGCGCAGGCGGAAATGGGAAGAAGGGTGGGGGCGGTGGTGGTGGTGGAAATGTGCCGATTCAGGTGAATGATGGAAAGAATGGTAATGGTGGGAAGAAAGGCGGTGGAGGTAATGGGAACAATGGTCAAAATCAGGGCGGCGCCGGCGGTGGCAAGAATGGAGGCAAAAATGGTGGTGGCCAAACCCCGGAGGGTAAAAGTGGCAATAATGGCGGTGGAGGTCAGAGCAAGAATGCCAATAATGGCCAAGGCGGAGGTGGCGGTGGTGGCAGTGGCGGAAAGAAAGGCGGTGGGATGAACGGTGGTGTTCAGGGATGCCCAACTTGGGCAATGGGTTCCCTGGCATTGGCAGTGGCGGTGGTAATTTTGGCCAGATGGGCAGTATGCCCATGGCCCAGGCCCAGGCCCAGGCCCAGGCCCAGATGGGTAGCATGCCAAGGGGCCAGATGGGCCAAATGCCAGCTGTCCAAGGGCTTCCGGCTCCCGCCATGAATCCCAGTGCTGGTGCGGGTGCTGGCGGCGGTGGATACTTCGGTGGAGCGGGACCTGAGGTCATGGCAGGTAACCCTTACTATCAGCAGCAATTGGCGGCGATGATGATGAACCAACAACGGGCGAACGGCAACGAGAGGTTTCAGCCGATGATCTACGCCCGGCCGCCACCAGCCGTCAATTACATGCCTCCTTACCCGTACTACCACCCCTATCAACCCGACCCGTATACCCATGCGTTCAGCGACGAGAACACCTCAAGCTGCAATGTGATGTGACTCTGGCCAAAAGCTCGCCCGAGTTTGGTCGGGGTGGCAGCGGAGTTTGGTGGGTCGGTTGGTTCGATTTTGTTCCATTCAAGTACTTGGAAGAAAGTCTTGGTGCCCTAAATCACATGGAAATCAGGGGTTTTAATTCCAGTTAATATATCTCCTTACCCCCTTAATCCCCCTCCTTTTACCTTTTCTTTATATAATCCCTCGCTTAATTAGGGTTTTTTAAGTTATCTTAGGGAGTATTTATAGGCCAAGATATGCAAAAGTTAGAAGTGGGGGATGGCTTGTGAAATTTGCAATGAGATGTTTATATTGTGTTTATATATGTTGGGAAACCGAAATAATATTAAAACAAAAACAAAAACAAAAAGAAAATGGGTTGGCCAAACAAAAAAAAGGAAAGAAAGAAAGACCATCTCTCATTTCCCATTTTTTACCATCTCCAACGCTTCACATTTTCTCTTTCCTAGATCCCCACTTCGCCCTACCAAATTTGTTTCCTTGTACTCAAAATGTGGGTGGTGAAATGCCCATGTGTTCTGCTACGACCCATACGTGGATCACGTGATCCGGATCATGCAACTCGTTGTGGTTCCCACCGCCCATGAATTTGATCAGAACCCAATCTGACCCTCCACTCCACAAGTTCGGGCCCGCCCGCCGGGCTACCATTATGCCTATCTGGATCTGGATGTGCATGAACGAGAGCAGCGAGTGTTAGTGTTTTGATTGCTTTCATGGATTTGCTATGAGTAGTGCGTCCTTTATTTAAAAAAAAATTTAACTGTATAATTAGGCGTGGTGCTGGAATTAGGTGCCGTTTGGCCCGCTCGAAATTCTATTTAAAAAAAAATAATTTTGATCTTTTGGATTCATACTGTATTCGTTTGAAGGGGAAAAAGTTTGTAAAAACCATCAAAAGTCCTAAAAGAGGGCTTTTTCAAGATAATTTCCTTTATAAAATTTACTTTGAAAATATAATTTCTTATTATGAAAAATTTTCTTTTTCTTTTAATTATATTAAAAGAAAAATTTAAGAATTCGTTTTTATATTTTTGAAAAATTACAAAATATTTTTTAAAAATTAGAAAATAGACTAAGTAAGTCGTCTAGAAGCTGAAGTCAGAGAGGTCAAAGGACTGTATACACAGAGGTGGACCGCGGAAGTAAGACGACGTTGACAGGGACAAGCTAACTACTTCACATTTCGTAATCTAACGGCGTTGACACTCACAGATTTTTGTAAATGATTTTGATTGTTTGGTACTTGAATTTTAGAGTTTGGGAATTTTTTTTCTTCGAAAGATAATTGAGGGATTAAACCGAAAATTTTAAATCATTTGTTGCTGAATATTTGTAAAAACGTTTAAGAATTTAAACTTCCAAATCTTAGAAATTATGACAACCAAACATCCTCTTATTTGTTAAACAATGAGGGGACAAATTATTGAGTAAATTATTTCTTAAAATTTATTTATTAATTTTGAAAGCATTGGCACATTTAGAAATTAGTTTTTTGGGGGAAAAAACTAAAAAAATGTGTGAAAGGAAAATTATAAAAAGAAGGTATTAAGAAGAATAAATATAAGAGAAAATCAAACGCCAAAAATTAAATTTATGTATATAAGTGAAATATCGCAAATGCATATTTATAATTTGAATAATTATTTTGTTAAATTAGATGATTTTTAATAATATTTTATTATATTTTCTACTTATTTTTTCCATAATTTTGATTTTACGAGTAATTTTCTATAATATTCCCATTCTTTAAATATTGCGTGATAGGTTAATATATTGTATACAAGCTTTGTTTTTTTTTGCAATAATTTCCATTTCAAAAATCTAACAAAAGCTGCTACCTTTGAGGACGATTTTGAACAAATTAGAAATTCCATATAGAGTTCTAGAAAAGGACATTGTGTTTATCATAGCCAAACTAGAAATTGTGAATTTGATAAATATTATAAAAATGATTTTTCATTACATAAATAACGCATTTAGAGGTAAAAATATTTAAAATATTAAAAAAATAAAAATACCAACTTAAATTTTCCTAGTATTAAAATTGTTGAAATTCAATCTTAATATGAGCCATCACATCTAAAATTATTAAATCCAACTTAACCCCCTTTTTATTCTAATTGCTAATGGGATTACAATTATTTATTATAAAACTGTGAATAGATTAGATTTTGTTTCAAATTCAATCAAAATTTAACTTAAATTTTATGATTTAAATTTAATTAAAATATTTAATAAATTAAGTTTGATTATAAACATTCACAACTTAAAATAAATAAATTGAATATGTAATTAAATATTTCAATAACCTGAATTAGAATTTTAATATTATTTTTATTTAAATTTATATTATATATAATAAAGTTAAATTTGTAAAGACTAAATTAAAAAATTAAAAAAATTTATAATTAATATAATTAATGAAATAAAATTGAAAGATTTAAATACAAAAATAATATCATTTTTTGTAAGATTTTCTTATTAAATTTTAAATTATTATAAGAATTTAAATTAAAATCAAATATGAAAATAAGTAATCTAATTTCATTTAAAATTATCTAATTTGATATAAATTTTACTCGCTTACTACTCTAATTTTGTTAGTTTTAGGACAACCTTTATTATTAAAAAATTGAAAACACAAAAATAGTTCCTTATAACATTAAAGTTTTTAAATATAATAATTTTTACTGGCTATCAATATTTATTTTTTAAAATAAACATAATTCACATTTTAAAAGATTCTAGTTGTCCAAGGAACGAGGATAAATAATTCGAGTGAAATAAAATAGTTGAAAAAAAATGTAATGCAAAGAGCACCAGATCAGATGCACAGGTGGGCTCAATCGGACACATACCATCTGTCTAATCAAGTCAGTCATCGTACTTTTCGTAAAGTACCTCTCCCTGTTTTCTCAGTCTCAGCTGCTGAATTTCCAGCTACTGGTGCCCTATTGGCTCGAACGTCGAGCTGCGTGGTATGCGAAGCAGGGAATCGCAACTCCCGGAGGATCGGTTAGATTTCGTTGAGGTGCGTTCCGTTCCACAGTAATAAGTTCTCTCTGCTTTTAATGCGTACGATAAATCACTGATGTGATTTACAGTATGCAAGGAGCTGCTGTGACTGAGAGAACTGAGAGGTTATTGATGTGCCGGAGCTCGAGATCCACAATTTTTTCCTTTCTAATTTTTGTCTCGGTACTGTTTGGCTACAGGGCTAAGCTCAGGCCAGCCTATTCGTCGCCGGACATAACCGGATTCAAGTGCTGGCCTATTTAAATTTTCTGTTTTCGGAAACCATCTTTATTCCGACAACTTTTGTCCTTACAAAAATTTCATAAATTATTTTTACAACAAAAATATTAAAAATTAAGTTAAAAAATTATTAAACTCCTTTTTTACAGAATAAATAAATTTATTTTTTAAAAAATAAATATAGCGAGTTAAATTTAGACTTTCCCCACTCAAAACTATGTTTCTAATTTAAAAAATTAAGAAAACTAATTTAAATATTTTTGTGAGTGAAAAAAGTTATTTGAAATAGGGAGCGAGAGAAGTTAGGTTAAAATTAGGTATATTCGTTTGATTTAATAATTTAATTTATTTTTCATAAGAAACAAAAGGACCAGCGGAAATTAAATAATTAATTTTGAATACAATGAGAAAAAAATAAATAATCTTCTGGAATGAAAAACAGACCCTACATTCGTGCCTCTCCGTACATGATGGCAGAGAAACATGTTGCAATCATGATGAACACGATGACTGAAGCTCACCCTTTTGACCTTTTCTTTATACATATATATATATATATATTTTTTTTTTCTTTTTTCAAATTTTTACTTATGTTGGCATGACGGGCACGTGGCCCCTGCCCCTTTCTCATAAAATTATGACTCTACAAAAAAAAGAGAGTAAAATATCATAATATTATTAGGACATATTTGGCATATGCGACAATTTTAGTTGCCTTAATTTATCTTGTTAAAAGTAGTAAAAATATAAATAACAAATGAAGAAGCAACCAAAAAAATAAATTTTATTGTGTAATTTAATTTAATTTGTGAATATATTTGAAATTTTTATGAGATATATCAATTATTTATTATAAAAATATTCTAAAAATTTACTATTTTAACTCAAATTATTGACATAAAAGTAAGAAAAAAACAGCCTCCAAATACTTATCAAGGCACTCCGGACTTCAACCAAAGATCACCAAGGATTAAATTGAATATGTTCGCATGTATTTTGGGCATCAATTGTAAATTTTATGGGAACCAGGCCACATTGACCATTTTGGAAAAATTTGAGGGCTATTTTTGCCTTTGTCACGTCAAAGGACGGAGTAATCCCTCCAAATTGTGAAGTAGGGTATTTAACAAAATAAATTAAATCATTTAAGTAAATAAAATTATGGTTTGATTTGGTTTGAAAAGAAATTTTTTTATATAATTTAGTTTGATATTTGATATTTAGATAAATCATATAAATCAAATTAAATTGTATAATTTATATATATATATATCTTAAATAAAAATTTGATCTTTATATATATAGTTTATTTTTATTATTTTATAGCATATTTTTTCTTTTTGTATTTATTTTGATAATTGATTAAAATAAGTAAATTCTAATATACTGAATAAATATATTTATTATATAATATATAATTATTATATTTAATTAATTGATAATAAATTTATTTAATTAAACAAGTTAGAAAAAAAACTAAATATTTAATTTTTAGAAAAATTATGTTAAAATTTTTATAAAAATAATAAATTTAATCTATTATATTGTATAAATTATAAATTATAATTTAGAATTAAATTAAAATATAAATTATAATTTAATTTATTTTTTAAAATATATAAATTATAAAATATAATTTAATTTATATTTAAAAATTAACTCGAATTAAACCTGCACATGAACAACTATTATTGTGAAGGACAACCATCGGAAGCAAGGCAACG